GGCTTGCTCACGCTTTTGTTGCAGCTCTCTATCCTTGACCATTCGAGACTGAACTTTCGGCCTTTCTGCTCGCAGCAAGCTTTCTACGTACTGCTCTGCGCGAAGCTTTAACGCACCACAAATGTCTGCATCTGCAAAGCTGTGCTGAGCGAACCATGCATCCAACTTGTCAAGAAGTGACTGCTTCAGAGCGGTGCATTCAATCAGGCCATCATAGAGATTGACGCACTTCTCCTGATGCTGCACAATAAACTCGAAACATTCTTTGGCATGTCGTTCGCGCATTGCAGCCCAAGCATCAACCACAGAAAAGGGTGCGTCACTCATGTCATCACCTGCTGTCGGCATGGCTTGGGCAAGGTAGATTTTCGTGAACTGCCATCGGAACTCTGCTTCAGCTTTGAAGTGCGAGTGGAGTTGGCCCTCTTCAACAAGCTTTTTGTACTTCTCAAGCAATTTGGTTTGCGTCTCCCAAGCGCTGAGAAGCTGCCTCACTTCCTTTGTGAAATCATCGAAGATCTTGCGTAAGGCAGGATCCACTCCATCCAGCAAGTCTTGAGGTTGCTGGAACAACTTAGACTTCAAAGCCTCACTGGCAGCCACCTTGTCTTCACGCGACTGCGAAGTCTGCACTTGCGCTTGCAACTCCTTCAATTGGCTCATGAGCAACTGGTTTTGCTGCAACAAGAGCAATTCAACACCGCTAAGTTCACCAGTCGGACTTGGTTGTCGTAACCTTCCGGCTGCTGTGAAGCCAGGCAAACGCGGAGCTGGAGTTCTGGGCGAACCCCGATCTTGGTGAGTGAAGGCTGGATTCCCCATGCTCATAGGCATGCCACCTACAGGTGCACCCATAGCACCTGCAGGCGCTGACCCATCTGCAGAAGGAACCTCCATGGCGAACGCCTAAAGTCTGCAAAGCACTACTTGTTGAAAGGTCGCTCAAACCGAGGCCACTCACAGCTTTTTTAGCAGCTGCCTTTTGAGTGCCAAGCTTTCGTCCCCATTGGGGACTCGTCAGGGCTTGGACAGCTGAAAATGCTGTATAACGACATGTGCATACACCCCTCAACTCAATGAACAGGATGCATGCACTTCGGATGAAGCTGACAGGTAAAAAAAATTTTAAAAATTTTTGACTGCCCATGCACCGCCAAGAAGCCAGGTGCCACTGCAACTGCCAGTCTGCAGCGGCCGCGATGCCGTCCGGGCAGATGCCCGGGGCCGCGCCGGGCATGCCGGGCGTGATGCCAGGGTGCGGAGGGTTTAGGGTTTAGGGTTTAGGGTTTAGGGTTTCGGGTTTAGGGTTTAGGGTTTAGGGTTTAGGGTTTAGGGTTCGGGGTTTCGGGGGAGTAGGTCATAAGGCCCAGATCCTCAGGGCTTATGAGTTTGTGGGTTCCGTCTTATCACAGACCTCCAAAGGCTGGCAGCCGCAGCCCCCAAAGCCCCCAAGCCTTAAGCCCCAGATGCCAAAGCAGCAACACTCTAAACCCTAAACCCTAAACCCTAAACCCTAAACCCTAAACCCTAAACCCTAAACCCTAAACCCTAAACCCTGAACCCTGAACCCTGAACCCTGAACCCTGAACCCTGAACCCTGAACCCTGAACCCTGAACCCTGAACCCTGAACCCTGAACCCTGAACCCTGAACCCTAAACCCTAAACCCTAAACCCTAAACCTGAACTCCAAAGCCCTCCCCCTGGGCAGGTTTGGGCCGATGGCTTTGAGTGCTCCGGTGGTGACGCCACCCCAGGTCCAGCCCACAGCTTGGGGTTTTAGGTTTTAGGGTTTAGGGTTTAGGATTTGGGGCTCGGGCTTTAGGGTTTAGGGTTTGTAGGGTTTAGGGTTTCGGGTTTGGGGCTTAGGCTTTCGGGGGATCGCATCACAGAGGCCTCAACGCTATACTGCTATATAGGGGTCGGAATAATCACTAATAATCGTATTCCCTTATAATTATGGTCCCTCTATAAATAGGTCATCAGAAATAGTAACCCCCAAACCCTCTTCTAATTATTCAGCCCCTTATACTTAGAGATCGGGCTGCCAGGCGCCGCCTCAGAGCCCGCCTCCGTCGGGCCCCTCAGTTTCGGGTGGCTCTGTCTGTTCGCGGGCTTCCAGATCGCAGAAGTGTGCTATAGGGGTCGGAAGAATTGCTGATCGTATTCCCTTGTGGTCCCAAGAGAATTCTACTGTAAGAACCCCTCAAAACCTTTTTTTTTTTTTTTTTTTTTTTTTTTATTATTTAGGCCCCTATATGAGATTTGTAGGCTGGGGCTTCAGCGTTTCAGGGTGCTTGGTTCAGCGACGTATAATGTTGTTTTTTCCAAGGATTGTGCTGGAGTCGGGTTCGGGGTAGGTTCGGGAAGGTTGAGGGCGGCTCAGGAGCAAAGTGCATTCCGAAAGTAGTAAGGTTTAGGGTTTAGGTTTAAGAGTGGTTTTGGGGGAGGCTTAGGGGTTTGGGGTTGTGACGCGTAGAGAAGCCAGAATATTCTTGCTGATACATCTTGACTGCTCCGGAACCAGACGGGCCAAAGCTTGAACCCCAAACCTTGAATCCAGCAAAGCACCTCAAACTCTGACTTACCCTCTCCCACCCCTCATCCCCAGCCTGGTCACGGTATCCCTAAAGCGAAACCCTAAACCCTAATCCCTAAACACTCAACCCTAAACCCTAAACCCTAAACCCCGAAACCCTAAACCCTAAACCCTCGACCCTGAACCCTCAACCTGCCTCCCCCAAGCCAGGCCGCCGCCCCCGCCACCCCCGCCCCAGCCACCGCTCCCACCTCCGGAGCCTCCTGTGGCACTGCCGGCCCTTCCGAAGGCCGGGTGGAGAGGTTTAGGGTCTAGGGTTTAGGGTTTAGGGTTTAGGGTTGAGTATTGTTTAGGGTTAAGGTTTTGGTGTTTGGTGTTTGGAGTTTTGGGTTTGAACCCAAAACCTAACTTTTTGTTGGTGATTGCTATGCAACCCCTTTTCGGTTTCTTCGGTACGTTTACCAAAAGTAGGTTTTGGGTTATTAAGGTTTGTTAACCTTCGGGCGAAAACTTCTACAGATGTCTACGACTGGTCTGTTTCAGGGCCTCAGGGTTCAGAGTTCAGGAAGGGTTGACTTTGGGTGGTGGGCATAGGGTTTAGGGTTTCGGGTTTGGGCTGGGGGTTGCATACAAAGTGATTCTTCATTTCCCACAAATCTCGCCTCCGCCCCACAACTGCAAGCGCCTAACACCAAACCCCCTATAGGAAGAACCCGGTTTAGGGTCTAGGGTCTGGGGTTTAGTTTCATTAGCCTTGAATATGGTCCCCTAAGTCCTTTAAACGGTTCTGATGTCCGTTAATTTCTATAGATTGTATAGTCTATTCTACGGCCTTACAAAAAGAGGTTTCTATACAGTTCCTTAGAGTCTAGGGTTGAGGGTTGAGGGTTTAGGCCGTGGACCGCACTACCTACCATCTCCCCTGCACCAGAGAGGGCCTTCCCAGTCCCAGCCCTGGCTTCCCACAGAGCCCTATAAGGCTTCGGGTTTAGAGTTTACTGTTTAGGCTAACAATGGAAAAACCTTAAATCACGTCAGAGCCCCTATTATGATTTAGGTACATGCCTCAATTCAGGGGTATTGGGCTCCTTGGGTAAATGCCAGCCTAAACCCTAAACCCTAAACCCTCGAAGTTTAGGGTTCATATCTTTGGGATGTAGCCCTAAATCCTATGCATCCGAAGCCCTCTAACCTTAAGCCCCAACTTTCAATTCACCCTAAACCCAAAACCCAAAACCCAAAACCCTAAGCCCTAAACCCTAAACCCTAAACCCTAAACCCTAAACCCTAAACCCTAGCTTCCAAGCCTTTGAGGTTCCCGAGTTGAGCTCGGAGGCCGGCGGACGGTGCGAACGGTTTTAAGGGGCTGCGGCCGGGCGGTGGGGATGAGGATTTGGGGTTTGGGGTTTGGGGTTTGGGGTTTAGGGTTTAGGGTTTAGGGTTTAGGGTTTAAGGGTTGGAGGGTTGGAGGGTTTAGGGTTTAGGGGCTAGACCCTTAACCCCAAACCCTAAAACGAGTGAGTGCTTGATTGTGTTTGTGTTTGCGCTCTTGTGTGCTTGTGTGCTTGTGTGCTTGCGTGCTTGTGTGCTTGTGTGCTTGTGTGCTTGCGTGCTTGCGTGCTTGTGTGCTTGTGTGCTTGCGTGCTTGTGTGCTTGTGTGCTGTCGTGCTGTCGTGCTGTCGTGCTTGTGCTCTTTTTTATTGTGTGTGTGTGTGGTTGTGGTGTGTGGGTGGGGTGGGTGGGTGGTGTGGGTGGGGTGGGTGGGTGGTGGGTGGGTGGGTGGGTGGTGGGGTGGGTGGGTGGGTGGTGGGTGGGTGTTGGTGGGTGGTGGTGGGTGGGTGGGTGGGTGGTGGTGGGTGGAGGGGGTGGTGGGTGGGGGGTGGGTGGGGGTGGGTGGGTGGGTGGGGGTGGGTGCGCGCGGTGTTGTTTTGTGTTTTTTGCCCTCTGCCCTCGCCCCATTAAATTACCCACACGACCCTAGATGCGGAATCCCCTAATGCTAATCCTCTGATCTGGAAGGCTCTCCGACACTGGGCGCGAACCTCAGGTCACTCAGGCCTCTGCACGAGTGGGTGTGTTTCAATTGCTGTTGGGCTACTAGCACTGTAGCTACGATGTTTTCCTTTTGTAGCGTTGTGAGGGGTTGGGCTCAGGTCCACAGGGCTTTCACACGCTTCATACGTTACTGGGGGGCTAAGTATGTCTGTGTGCCCTAGAGAACCGTTGAACGCCGAGGGCCCACCACCGACGTCCGCCAACGCCTCCCTCCAACCGCGGCACCCCTGGCGCAGCTGGTGATGCCCACCATGCCCCCCCCGCAACTGCCAACCCCCCTTCGCTGGGGGGGTCGAGCCTCCCATCCATGCCCCACCCTGTCCGCATGCCCAAACCCTGATGGCGGGCATTGCAGAATCCCATGGCGGCAGGCAGAAAAATCCCACATGGCGGGCATGCCCGAACCCCATGGCTGGCATGCAGAACCCATGGCGGGCATCCCCAACCGCCCATGGCGGGCATGCCGAATGCCATGGCCACATGGGGGCAGAGACCCTTCGGACAGGCGCGGCGCGGAGCATGACCGCGCACTTGTGGAGTGACTGAACGCAAGGCTTATAAACCCTAAAGCATAAACCTGAACTTACTACCATGTTGCTTAGAAATGTGCCACCCCATAAAAAACATATTCTTCTTTTATAATAAAGAAATTTTTTATAGGGATTATTATTCGACCCTTAAGCCCCATAGCCTGAACTCATATCCGATTCCTCACGCCCGCCAACTTCCTTTCCTAAAAAAAACCTCAGCCCTAGGACCCTGGTGACCGGTATGTTTTGCCACGTACCCTAACCCTGAACCCTGAACCCTGAAACCTAAACCCTAAACCCTAAACCTAACCCCTAAAACCTAACCCTAAACCACCTTCCGGAAAGGCTGGCGCCTTGTTGCAGGGGTGCCATGGGTGCCGGAGTGCCCGCGTGCCCGGAGCGCCCGAACTCCCGCAGGTGGGTTAGTTGCTTCGTCCTAAGGGCCGCTATTGAGGTTTAGGGTAGGTAGGGTTAGGGTTTTTTCTAGGGTTTAGGGTTTGGGGTTTAGGATACTTAATGTGGTCCCTTGGGCTCCTTAAAAATGGTTCAGAAGTGCAGGCGGTTAGGCTGTGTAGGGTGTATAAGGCGTATATAAGCGGTCCCGTTTTGCGGGCCCATACTTAGTGAACCGCTGAGTTCGGGTAAGGCTTTGGGGGGGGGGGTTTCGGATTCAGATCCTTCATACTTCTAGGGCTTCTATTGTTATTGTAATTTTTATTTTTATCATTCTTCCTGTTTTTTGTTATTGTATTGTTATTATGTAACTTTTTTTTTTCGGGGGGGGGGGGGGGGGGGGGGCGGAGGTTGGGGAGCAGGGTTCGGATTCAGAGGTTTCAGGATAAATTTCAGAGGTCTCAGGGCTTGTGGCACACTGCGCCCCGCCCAAACTTCATTCGGCTCCTGGGCTTTGGAGTACTATACTTTAATACTTTTTTTGGTTTAGGGTTCCCATTACAGCTACTTATACCTAAAAAGCATATACATTTTTCCTGTGTTTACTCCAGAGGTAGGGCTCGTATCCAGCATACTGACTCTTTCAGAACTGAGCCTCACAAGTTAGAGCTTCGGTTGTTTTGCGGCAGGCGCACCCGCGGCTGCCGGTGTGCCCGCTGCTGGGCAGCCAGTTGCTGCAGCTGGACAGCCTGCTCCCGCACAGACCTTGCTGGCAAAGGACGGCGTGTTTGTTTTTTTTTTGGGGGGGAGGGGCTGCTTAAGGGAGGGGGGTTTACAGGGGGCACGTAGCCCAAGGTTCCCTGATACTCCCCACTACTCCCTAAGTTCCCTAGGTACCTACTAAGAATTTTCTTCCTATAAGATTTCGGCATGATGGGACCACGCCATGCCGTGTGGCCTCAGGCACTTCAACCTCCGATGCAGAGCGGCGGTTTTGTGTTTAGGGTTTAGGGTCTAGGGTTAGGGGTTTAGGGTTTAGGGTTGAGGGTTTAGGGTTTAGGGTTTAGGGTTTAGGGTTTTGAAGTGAACCCCTTGCAGGCAGTGGCCCAAGCCGTCAGTCGCCTGACGCGAGAAGTAGGGCCCTACCGTTCCCAATTTGGGTCCATGTACCCATGTAGTATATGCTTGGCCATAAAGGGTTCCTATATAGTAGCCCTAAACCCTAAACCCTAAACCCTAAACCCTAAACCCTAAACCCTAAACCCTAAACCCTAAACCCTAAACTCTCCCTAAACCCTAAACTCTAAACCCTAAACCCGAAACCCTAAACCCTAAACCCTAAATCCTAAACCCTTAGGGGTTCATGTGGGCTAGATTTCAGAACTCCGGGGCCCCTTGCAGGCAGCCATCACGCAGCCAGCCGTGCCTGCAGGTGCAGCACTTAGGCATTTGGGTTTAGGGTTTGGGGTTTAAGGTTTAGGGTTTTGTGTTTGGGGCTGTGCTAGGGGTCTTCGGAGGCTGAGCTTCAGAATGTGAGAAAGCCAGCGCACTCGTCAGTCGCTCCGCAGGTACGCCCGCAGTTCCTGGCGCGCCGGGTGTCCCTGGACAGGCCGTGCCGGCGCAGAACCAGCTGGCACAGGACCGACTTTTCGTCAAGCTTGACGGGACCAGACGGGACCAGACGGGACCACTTCATGTGAGGGGCCACATCCTCCCTTGTTGCGGACCCCGTGTTTTTCATTCTTCGTGTGGATTTACCCGCTAAACCCTAAACCCTAAACCTTAAACCCTAAACCGGAAAGAAAGCCATCACCCCCCCCCCCCCCCCCCCCCCCCAAGATGCAGCAAACATTGCACCCCCAGCGCTCGCCATCCCAGCACACCGCTTGGGTAAGGAATCGAGACAAACTGCGCCCTTCCCCTCCACCGGCTGCTTGCTCTAAAGCCCTAAACCCTAAACCCTAAAACCGACACCCTCAACCCCAAACCCTAAACCCTAAACCCTAAACCCCACGCCCTAAGCCCTAAGCCCTAAGCCCTAAACCCTAAACCCTAAACCCTAAACCCTAAACCCTAAACCCTAAACCCGCAGCTCCCCTGCTTCTTTCGAGCTTCTTGCTGCCAGGCAGCCGCCACACTGCCAGGCATGCACCAGCCGGCAGGACGGAGCACCAGATTGGCTGCTGGTAGGGTTTCGTAGGGTTCAGGGTTGGGGTTTGAGGTTTGAGGTTTAGGGTTTAGGGTTTAGGGTGGGTTTAGGGTTTAGGGTTCAGGGTTCAGGGTTCAGGGTTTAGGTTTTAGGGTTTAGGGTTTATAGGGTTGAGGGTTTGAGGTTTGAGGTTTAGGGTTTAGGGTTTAGGGTTTATGACACAGGGTGGCACTTCTACTACCATTTGCTTAAGAACCCCCAAACACTAAACGCACCTTCTTCATCATAAGGGCAATATGTTGATTGCTCTTAGGCATGGTACTTGGAAGTTCATGGGTAGTTATAAGTAGGGTTCTGGGTTGAGTCTAGGAAGAGTCTTAGAGCATATCTTGGCTTATCAGGGTATGGGCAGCTTCGCACTTAGAGGCATTTAGCTCGACCATGACAGATCTCTGGAGTGCAGTGTTGCTGGACTGAGCAGGTATGAACGTACCACTGATCCCGTCCACTGTGCGGTTACAAAAATGGCACCTTAACTAAATGCCACGGATTCTAGCAAGGGACGATATTTCTCCCCTAGCGTCTCAGGTTGAGTTCTTCGTCAAGTATCCTCCCCTCCCCCCTGCATGCGAAGGTGCTTCCGCAGCAGGCCTGAACAACCTGGCCTACATGGTGCAGCAGCGCGCGCAGGGAGAGTGGCCCGGCGGCAGGCATGTGCTGGAGGGCTGGTGAGCCCTCAGCCCTCTACTTGGAGGTTCAGGGTACTTAGAACCCCAATTAGAACTGCACTGTGTCCTCTAAGTAGGTTATAAGTAGAGTGGAAGTAGACTTCTGCTTGGGGTTAGAAGTACGCATGACCCTCCAAGCAGGTCCCCTGTAGAGCCCGAGACCCTTTTGCCCTATAGACATGTCAACAGCACCTGAGAGCCCAATATCCAATATAACCTTTAATCGTATTAGGGTCCCCATTATGACTTAAGGTTGGGATGTTCCCACTTATACTAACAGTCCTGAATAGGGATGATAGTACTTCCTATTAAAATCCAAATTAAGGACTGTTAGCATAAGAGGGAACATCCCAAATCTAAGGTTTGTTCCTTACTTAAGGGGTATTGGGCTCCATGGGGCCTAAACTTCTATACCCTAAACCCTAAACCCTAAACCCTAAACCCTAAACCCTAAACCCTAAACCCTAAACCCTAAACCCTAAACCCTAAACCCTAAACCCTAAACCCTAGACCCTAAACCCTAAACCCTAAACCCTCATGTCCCAGGTTGACGTACCACTATTACCAGTATGTGCCTGGATACGGCTATGTCTACGAGCCGGGGCCCTGTGCTTCTCTCTAGGGTCTAGGGTCTAGGGTTTCGGGTTTCGGGTTTCGGATTTAAGGTTTAGGGTTTAGGGTTTAGGGTTTAGGGTTTAGGGTTTAGGGTTTAGGGCTAGCATTATCACCATGATCTACTGTGGACATGTAGCTCCAAACCTTTAGTTACATCTCTGGGTCTACCCCCACCCGCCCACCCCCACCCCTCCCCCCACCTTCTGCCCAACAAAAATCACAGTTATGTGGGCACGTTTGCAAGAGTCTTGCAGGGTAACAACTCTACACCCCTATACCCTACCTATAAGAACCCCACAAACCTCCTTGTAGGTTACCTACGCATCCCATAAGGAAAAAGTAGGTTTAGCCCGTAATCCCTAACCCTAAACCCTTGCACCCTAAACCTCAAACCCTAAACCCGAAACCCTTAACCCTCAACCCGAAACCGTAAGAGCTGGCGGAGGCCGGGGCTCAAGGCAGATGGCCAGAAGCTCGCCGCGCTCCTCAAGGATGGAAGGCGGGCGTTTGAGGGTTTCGGGTTCAGGGTTTAGGGATTAGGGTTTAGGGTTTAAGGTTTAGGGTTTAGGGTTTAGGGTATAGGGGCTTTAGAAGCAACGAGGTGACTTTAGGGCGTTTAGGGCTTTCAAGGCTTGACAAGGGTAGTTACATGGTCCCTGAATTGGGTTTAGGGCTTAGGGGTTTAGGGTTTAGGGTTTGGGGTTTAGGGTTTAGCGTTTAGGGTACCTGAATATGGTCCTTGACCTTTCAAGGGTTCTGAAGTATGGGCCCTTGGGTTGCATAGGGTGTATAAGGGATGTAAATGATCCCCTTTTAAGGGCCCATATTAAGGGACCATGTAACTATTTTAAGAAGGTTGCAGGTTGCAAGGTTTGCATTGATCGGGGTGTGAACGCATTTGCTCCGGGGGGAGGATGTGCTCGTGGGAAAGTAGCAAGCCACCGCGCTTAGGGGCTTAGGGCTACAGGACCGCCACGGGCCAGGCAGTCCCGCAGACCTGTTGGGGCCCCGCGGCGAAACTTTAAACCCTAAATTGTCAGAAAGAGTGACCCCTAAACGGGGCATCCATTTAATCTAGGGTTCAGGGTTTAGGGTTCATTTAGGGGCATATACATATATATATATATATGCTTATATTTATATATACATATATATATATATATGTATATACATATACACATACATTCCGCATAGAGCCCCTTTTTCATACCAAAGAGCCCTTAAACAGCTCCGATGCAACCCATAGGGTCCCCCCCTCAGTCCCATGATGAAACGGTACTCGAATTCAGTAGAGGTCCCGCACTTGCTGCCAGGAAGACCACGAAGACCTGCGGCTGTCTTCAATCCTGGACCCACAAGGGACAAGCGTGCCTCTGGCGTGTAAGACCGGGAAATTCAGGGAGCAACGGGACGGCATGGCACCGATGATCGCGAAACCCTAAACCCTAAACCCTAAACCCTAAACCCTAAACCCTAAACCCTAAACCCTAAACCCTAAACCCTAGACCCTACACCCCCTCGCAGCCCCTTTCTGTTGAGCTTTGCAAAGGCCTGAATTCTGCTAAGCCTGAGCTGAAGAGCTTGCCCCCCGATTCGGCTTCGACTCAACTCCCAAACCCCTAAACCCCTAAACACAATTCCCCCCCCCAAAAAAAAAATAAAATAAAACAAAAATCACCCTAGACCCCAAACCCCTACAACCCAAACCCCAAACCCCAAACCCCTAAACTCTGAACCCCTGAATCCCAAACCCCGGAACCCCCAAACCCCAAACCCCTAGACCCCTGAACCCTCAACCCCTAGCCCCCAAACCCCTAAACCCCAAAGCCCGAATCACCCTAAGCCCAAAACCCTAAACTCTAAACCTGAGCCCCCCCGAGGTGCAGCGACTCCTGCTGTAACCCGGACAACGATGCTGGTGGCCCATGGTGCTTTGTGATGGACCAGGACCCTAAACCTAAAGCCCTAAACCCTAAACCCTGAACCCTAAGCCAATTTAAGGCTCTAGGTAGGCTTTAGGGTTTAGGGCTTTTGGGGTTTGGGGGTTTGGGGTTTGGATGTTAGTCTTGTGCACCTTAGGGTCCGGGATTAGGGTAAACCTGTGGCATGGTCCCCCTCCCCAACTGCGCCTAAACCCTAAACCCTAAACCCTAAACCCTTAACCCAAAACCCTAAACCCTAAACCCTAAACCCTAAACCCTAAACCCTAAACCCTAAACCCTAAACCCTAAACCCTAAACCCTAAACCCTACACCCTAAACCCTAAGCCCTGCTGCGAGAGGCCTGCCAGGGTGACACCTGGGGTACCTGCGAGCCCCTCCCGGCGCTCGCCTTGGCCTCAGCCGCAGTGCTGGCGATTCGGGGCTTCGCAATCTGCCTTCTGTAGTCCCTAAACCCTAAACCCTAAACCCGAAACCCTAAACCCTAAACCCCCACTTAAACTCATGGTTAGGGCCGCGAGCGTTCCGGGCACAGACTTCGGACGAGTTTGGTGCTGCGTCGTTTGCACGTCAAGCCCCGCCCTTAGCCCATGCACCCCACCCTAAGCCCCAAACCCGAAACGCTGAGCCCTAAACCCTAAGCCCTAAACCCTAAACACTAAATCCTAAACCCTCAACCGCAACCGTCAACCCGAAGGCCTGAACGGCCTTGGATTTTCAACTTCTCGGGCCCGGGTGCCGCAGGCTGCCGCGCCCGCACCCTCTCCGGCAGCCGCGCCCGCCGCGCCCGCGCCCGCGCCTGCAGCGCCTTGGGCTGCCTCGTGATGTTTCCCAGCCAGCGAGGGGTTTAGGGTTTAGGGTTTGGGGTTTAGGGTTTAGGGTTAAGGGGTTTAGGGTTTAGGGTTTCGGGAGTAGGGTTTAGGGTTTAGGGTTTAGGGTTTAGGGTTTTCTGAATGGCTTGGTAGCCCAGGGTACCCTTTGCCCTTGTTTTGGTTCTGGGTTCCCTTGTAAAGTAGCCAACCCCAAAAAGGGTGCCCTTATTATAATATGGTTACTGGGCTACTATCCCAGAGAGCCCAAAGCCCCTTAATTTAAGGAACATACCTTAAATCAGATTAGGGGCCCCAAATATGGTCAAGGTATGTACCTGAATTAGGGGGTTTGGGGCTCTTTGGGTTAAGGGTTTGGGGTTTAGGGTTTAGGGTTTGGTTGTGTTTGGGGGGCTGAAGTGCTTTTGGGGGATGAGGCCTGCGGCCTTAGTGATGATGGGGTCTTGGGCCGAGGGTTCGGGCTTCATATGCGTATAAGCTTGGCTTTCCTCTGCCCTTAGTATGGTCCCTCACCCCTTGTTTCGGTGCCCTCATTATATATCGCGTATAAAGGGTGATACAACAAGGGACTCAACTTAAGGGCCCGCAACCCGACTCCCTAAACCCCAACCCTGAACCCCAGACCTGCAACCGGAAGTGCCCGAGGCTGTCGCACCTGCCAAGGACGGGACGGGTCTGTCCAGGGAGCCATGGCATGTCGACTGGGCATTATTGTCTTAGAACATTTGTTTAGGGTTCAGGGTTTAGGGTTTAGGGTTTAGGGTTTAGGGTTTAGGGTGTTGGGTTTAGGGATTCTGACACAGGATGGCAGTTCTGCTACCATTTGCTTCAGAACCCCCTAAACGATGAACATGTTCTTCCTTAGAAGGGCAAAAAAGGGACTACTCTCTTTTATTTTGTGGGTTTTTAGCGCAACTAGTAGTATTGTCTTTTAACATTAGTGAACGAGTATATTGGTATAAGGTCATATTGCCTTTGTTTCATATCTTAAGGACATGATCATGATATCTGTATGTGGTGGTAGCCCACAAGGACCTGTAATTTAGATGAAGCCCTTCACCCTTCGCCTGGTGCATATGTATAGAGTTTTGAATGTGACTGTAGGAGTTCGAGTCCTGTCCAGGGTCTTTAGTCTTCCTCGAGTTCTCTGCCTTATCGCTTAGAAGTTGCTACGACAGACAGGAACAGCCACTCTAGATCAGCCGAAGCCACAAGAGTGTTGGTTAGATCGCACGCAGAAACCGAGCGGGAGCAGAGCCCGAACCTTTGTTCATACAAGGGGCAAAGTAGCTTTAATGGGTTTTTGTTTAGGGTTTAGGGCATAGGGCTTAGGGCTTAGGGGCTTAGGGTGTCTTTGCGCGCATGCCCCCCATGCCTAGAAGCTTCAGCAGATTCAACAACTTGTCTCTTTGTCAGATGCTGGCGCAGATGACATCAAACATGACCGAGGCTTGCATTTGGGGGGTTGAGGGCGCAAAGGTTTTAGGCACTAAACGCCTAAACCAGAAACAGCATGATGTGCTGGGTAACAGGACACGCCTGAGCCAATGGGTTGATGGATTCCTCAAATGACTTGGGGTTTAGGCTGGGGCTTCGGGCGTAGGGTTCAGGCGTTTAGGACGGATGTTTGAATATCGACAGAAGGTTCGCATATAGCCGAATGTTGGATCCACTGGTGCCCCAAACCACGTCGCACTCCACTCAGAAGCCGCCCAGCAACGGCAAGTTCTTGCAGACTCCAAACCTAAACCCAAGAAAGAACCGAAACCCTCAGACCCATATACCCCAAACACTTGTACACCAAACCCTTTGCCCTAAGCTCCAATCTTTTCTGAAGAATTCCCCCCCAAAGGCAACTGCCGCCGACGATGCTGCCGTGGAGGTGCCACTTAAGGGGCTTTTAAGCGGGTTATAAGCACAGCTACATTTGGTTGATAAGTACCGTTAACCTCCAAGTAGCAAAGGTGAATCCTTTGGTCCCCGAAAACCCTAAACCCTAAACCCTAAACCCTGGTCCCGAAACAGGGTTTGGGGCCTTGTCTAGAACACTAGCCCTCCTACGCGGCTCAAGTCTCAAGTCTGACTTCCAGGAACTTGCAGCTGTTTTGGGCTCTGACAAGATCGAGGCAGGCCCATCCAGATAATATGTGCTCGGATTCGCGCTGCAGCATGTTAAGGGGTGTAAGGAGGGATCTTGGGACCACCCTGAATCTTATTCTCCCCTATATAACCCCTATTTAAATGCCTCATATAGTCCTTTACTCCCTTAAGCATGCACGGAGATCAGAAGAAAACGGCACAGACTTGCTTCAAACATCTACAGGAGGGGTTTGATGGTGTGAGGGCTGAGGGGGTTTAGGGTCTGAGGGTTGACGGGGGCAACTCAACCCTAAACCCACCCTAAACCCTGCCTGAATTGCCTAATCTCTAAACCCTAAACCCGAAACCCTAAACCCTAAACCCGAAACCCAAACCCTAAACCCTCCCCGCCCTAAACCCCAAAGGAAAACCCCTGCCTGTGAGGTGAAGGAGGAAGAGCCGAAGAGGAGCGTGCTCGTGCGGTACTGGGGCGTAGGATCAGGGTTTAGGGTTTAGGGTTTGGGGTTTAGGGTTTGGGTTTAGGGTTTAGGGTTAAGTTTAGGGTTTAGGGTTTAGAATATTGGTCCTCGGGGCTCCTGGTCCACATTGCGGATGCCCCCAAAGACGGGACGTTGGCAACATTTCTGGGGGTTGCTCCAAGTTGTGTCCCCTGTGCAGTTCCCGGAACAAAAGGAAATGCTATAGAAGTAAGAGAACCTTTATTAAAACTTTAAAGTTCCCTAATTCACCCAAAACCCTTAACCCTAACTTAACCTGACCCCCAAACCCAGTTGACTGTCGTTAGCAGGAACCTTCGCGCGAGCTTTGTGCAGCGCAAGCAGGGTCTGGAGCAGGCTGGGCTTGGGGCTAGGTGGCTTTTAGGGTCGACAGCTTGGGGATTGAGACCTGGGGGGGGGGGGGTTGGAGTATATGGTAATATAGTATGATTTAGCATAGTATAGTGTAATATAGAACGAAGACGATGTAAACCCCAACGGTTCCGGGAATCGCAGCTGATGTGTCCCGAAAGCTTGCGGGCTGCGGTATAGAAAAGGCTGCACGGGACTGCACTTTCTCCCTAAAACCCTCAAAGTCTTTATGCTCCAAAACCCTTACACCCCTACCCCTCCCCCCCCCCCCAAGTACCCTTTGAAGTGCCCTAAACCCAAAGCCTTTAACTTCAAACGCTACACCCCTAGTACTAGGTAGACCCTAAACCCTAAGCCCTAAGCCCTAAACCCTAAACCCTAAACCCTAAGCCCTATATAAGCCCTCAGCCCTAAGCCCTAAGCCCTAAGCCCTAAACCCTAAGCCCTAAACCTAGACACTCGTGCTCCGCAGGTCGAGGGGTCCCCCTGCGATTGCGGTTCTGCGGGAGGCTTAGCGGAGGGCCGGCTGGAGGCTTCATGGGTTCTGGGTCTGGGGGTTTAGGGTTTAGGGCTTCGGGGTGAACTCGCAACAGGGGCTCGGGGCCTTCTAAACTTTTGGGAGGCGTGCCTTGCCTTTGAGGGTTTTGGCTTTAGGGTCTAGGGTTTAGGTTTAGGGTAACGACAAAACCGCCCAAAACACTGGAGGCTAAATCCGACAACCCTGAGAGGCCCTTTCTGCTTTGGAGGCCCGGGGCTGCTAGGAATTTCTGAAGAGGGTACTGCCCCTCCACCGGTGTCCTGACCACAGCTCCTACGAGTACGGATGATAGTTGCTAAAGATAGCCTTCATCATCGTCATAGCAAATGCGAGTGCCAGCTTAAGGGGGAGCCTTGTTGTCTGCCTTGCTGTGTAAACACTTAAGGTTGAAGGCTTAGGGTTGAGGGTTGAGGGTTGAGGGTTGAGGGTTGAGGGTTGAGGGTTGAGGGTTGAGGGTTGAGGGTTTAGGGTTTAGGGTTTAGGGTTTAGGGTTTAGGTTCAGGGTTTAGGGTTTAGGGTTTAGGGTTTAGGGTTTAGAGAAAACCCTCTCTTCAGTCGCTCAGGACTGATCTGACCTAGAAGCGCTAGCAAGGCGCCGGTTGCATGCCTCTGGGGACTCCGGGGTGCAGTCAGAAACCCGAAGCCCCCAACCCTCAGTTAGGGTTTAGGGTTTAGGGTTTAAGGGTGGGCGGTTTGGGGCGGGTTTAGGGTTTAGGGTTTAGGGTTTAGGGTTTAGGGTTTAGGGTTTAGGGTTTAGGGTTTAGGGTTTAGGGTTTAGGGTTTAGGGTTTAGGGTTTAGTTTAGGGTGTAGGGTTTAGGGTTTAGGCACCAAGCCCAAAGGGTAGGGTTGTGGGCTCAGCCCCGAACTCTGTAAACCCGGTTTCGCTGTGTTTGTTCAGCCAGCATCTTCGAACCTCACAAGCCCATCTAAAGCCCTAAACACCCATGGCGGGGTAGGCCGGGTAGGCTTTTGGGATATTTCAGATTTTCTCTGAATTGGGCTTGGGGTATTTTACATTTTCCCGTAATGGGTTTTAAGAGGAGTCCAGGCCCCAGACTAGGCCCTTGTTCCCCTTTGTTGCGGGGCTTTCGGATTGCCCGTAGAAGCCCCTTTGAACCAGAAAGGGCACCCTGGCCTCAACCCTGAACCCTAAACCCTAAACCCTAAACCCTAAACCCTAAACCCCAAACCCTGGTTTATTCCTAGCTTCCTCTTGGGTCTAGAAAACCTCCCATGCAGGCTTTCGGAAGCCCAGGCGATGGACTCCCCAACCCCGAGTTTAGGGTTTAGGGTTTAGGGTTCAGGGTTTAGGGTTTAGGGTTTAGGGTTTAGGGTTTAGGGTTTAGGGTTCCCCTCCTTCGAACCTAAGCCCAAGACCCTAGACTCCCTTCCAGCATGGATTGATCGTCGACCTTTGTTCTACAGCTGCTGGAAGGGAGGAATAAGGGCCTCCTCTGGTTCTTGTTTAGGGTTAGGGTTTCCGCTGCAGCAAACCCCGAGCCCTCACCCCCTGAAGCTTCCAACGCCCAAGCCCGGAAACCCCAAGGGCTAAATATTTGATATAGATCCCGAAGTGAATATGTGGGCCACATGAGGAGCATGTTAAGGGAACCTCTTAACTGGGGGTACATGCTTAGGGGTCCGAGTATGACTCCCTGGAAAGCCCTGAAGTTGCCCTAAAGATCTGGCGTACCGGAGGGGATTTGGATAGATGCCGTCATTTTAAACCCTAAACCCTAAACCCTAAACACTAAACCCTAAACCCTAAACCCTAAACCTTAAACCCTAATCTGCTTTCGCAGCAGAGAGACGTTTGGGCTCGTGTATTGCTTGTCAAGCTCGGCCGGCCATGGGACTCAACGCAGCGGTAGCTTGGTTGGCCCTGGGGAAGGTGATTTGTTTTGTTTTTCTTGGGTGCATGTTCCGCGCGATGGGCTGTTTAAAGCGACCCCTTTTGTAACACAAATATACTTGCAATTTCAAGGGACCTACTTATACTTGCGAGTATGTCTCAGCAGGGTTTCAAATACCCAGCCAAGGTCGTCAGCCTACTGCTCGCCCTGGCTTGCTGGCTGCAGGGCTGCTCGGTGTCGGACACACCCAGCAGCCCAGACACAGCAACTTACCCAGCCAATAGTTGAACTTAACATTTTTCGTAAACCCTAAACCCTAAACCCTAAACCCTAAACCCTTGGTTGCTGGAGAAGCAAGGTCGGCGACGCGGGCGAGAGCCGGCGAGGCTCATTTCTGGTGATCGGCGACTGGGGCTGGGATCCCAACGCGGCTCTGATGGCATTAGCTCCCGATCTCGGGAGTCGGAAGCAAAACTTATACCCTAACACCATAGACCCTAAACCCTAAACCCTAAACCCCAAACCCTAAACCCTAAACCCGCCCCAAACCGCCCACAAGCCCTTGTAAAGCCGGAAGCGGAGGGCAATAGTTGGCTGCTGGCTGCCGCCGAGGCTCATGGAAACATCAAGAGCACGCACTGCCAGCAGCTGGTGGCCGATGTCATGCACGAGCAGATTCCCGGATTTCCAGTTTATATATGTATTACATATACATATATACACAGATATGGATAGGTATATTATTATTATTATTATTATTATTATTATTATTATTATTATTATTATTATTATTATTATTATTATATATGTATAGGTATATATATATATATATAGATAAACAGATATGTATAGGCATATATATATATATATGTGATTCACGAGCAGATTCCCGGAATTCCAGTGTGGTACCCTTTTCTCTTTAGGGGCGCTTTGTGGGTAGGCCATCTTGCTTTTTGTAGGTCCTTGGGACATTTCATATTCTGCTTTTGGGGGTTTAAGCGGATCATACTCAGGAATATTTCGCTGAGGGTTTTAAATTGAAGGCCATCCTACGTAGTTTTATTCCCGTTGCCCCAGTGGCATTCTTTTTCCTGTTTGTTACTGCGCTGCGCTGGGGTGCTCAAACCCTAAACCCTAAACCCTAAGCCCTAAGCCCTAAGCCCTGAGCCCTAAAACCTAAACCCTAAACCCTAACCCCTAAGGGAACTCACCCCCCCTCCTTGTCATTGGGCTGGCGGGGTGTGAGGATGGAAAAGCTCGGGGACGTTCAGTTCATCGTCAACGTCGGCGAATCACGGCTGGGAAGCCCTAAACCCTGCACAGGTTTAGGGTTGAAGGGTTTAGGGTCGAGGGGTTTAGGGTTTAGGGTTTGGGGTTTGGGGTTTAGGGTGTAGGGTTTAGTGGTTTAGGGTCTAGGATTTAGGGTGTAGGGTTTAGGGTTTTCTCAATAGCTGTTTTTTTGGTTCTAGGTGCCCTTATAAAGTTACCGCCCCCAAAACGGGTACCCTTACTACCGTAAACCCTGCAAGGCTAAACCCTGCAAAGCCACATGGGGAGGGGGGGGGGGGGGGGTTAGGGTTTAGGGGTTAGGGGTTTAGGGTTTAGGGGTTAGGGATTTAGGGTTTAGGGTTTGGGGAGGGTTTAGGGCTTAGGGTTTATTCCGGACTCCTGGATCGAGATCCGGGCTTAGGCTTGAGACATGTGAAGGTGATGACGGGGCGGGGCCATTCAGCGCCATTCTCGCCAACAGAGAGAGACAGAGAGACAGAGAGACAGAGAGAGACAGAGAGAGACAGAGAGAGACAGAGAGAGACAGAGAGAGACAGAGAGAGACAGAGAGAGACAGAGAGAGACAGAGAGAGACAGAGAGCGACAGAGAGAGACAGAGAGAGACAGAGAGAGACAGAGAGAGACAGAGAGAGACAGAGAGAGACAGAGAGAGACAGAGAGAGACAGAGAGAGACAGAGAGAGACAGAGGCAGGCCATTCAGTGCTACCATCGCGAAACGAGAGAGACAGAGACGGAGGCGGACACGGAGACGGAGATGGAGACAGAGAGAGAGAGAGAGCTAAACCCTAAACATCCCTAAGCCCTGAACCCAAAACCCAGAGAAAGGATTCGTTTTATCCCGATGGCGTGCGCAACAAGAGCGACCCGCAGTGGGATGTGCCTTGGCCGGTTACAAGCTGCGAGAACTACTAAGACCAACAAGCAAAAATCTCTGGCACGCGAGAACCCTAACCTAAAACCTCAAACGCTTAAACCCTCAAGCCCTCAACCCCCCAAGCCCTCAAGCCCTCAAACCCTCAAACTCAAAATTCAGTCCGGGCGCGTTCCAGTCGGCGTTGCCTTCCCTATGGGTCCCTTCGTAATTCTACTACAATAACCCCTGAAACCCTATTCTATTGTTTCAGGCCCCTATATGACCCAGCCTCTGGCTAGGAGAAGTGGCGACAAATTTACTCACCTCTCGTGAGATCTGTGCCTTGGTACAGCGTCTACGGCAACCATGACCTCCATGCGGATCCGTGCGCCTGCAGCGAGGATTCCATGTGTTAGGGTATCCGGGGCCTAGGATGCAGATGTCTCACCGAAGCTATTGAGAGCTACGCTAAGCCGCGCTTATCTCAGATGCGGAATCAAGGTTTAGAAGCTAGGCAAAGGTCCTAGAGAAGGTAAGACCCCACATGCCGCCGATCGAGGAAGCTGTATTGCTTGAAACGCGCTTGACAGTTAAGTTCTCCGCCAGTTCCTTCTTTATGACAGCTCAGGGTTTAGGGTTCAGGGTTCAGGGCTTAGGGTTTAGGCTTTAGGGTCTAGGTCTAGGGTCTAGGGTTTAGGGTTTAGGGTTTAGGACAACCTAAACCCCCCCCTCCCTCCCAACTGGCAGGATGCAGACGCCTGTGCGCAAGTGAATGCTGACATCACCAACTTGGACTACTTCTACATGCCGGATACTTCCTTCTACCAGGACAGCTTAGTCTTTCTGCTTTGGGGGTTTAGGGTGTAGGGTTTAGGGTTTAGGGTTTAGGGTTTCTGAATGGCTTGTTTACCCTTTTTTTGCTCTGGGTTCCCCTATAAAGTAACCAACCCAAGAAAAGGGTGCTCTTACTATAATATGATAATATGGTTACTGAGTTACTGGGCTGCTAAGACAGTCTTTTGGCAGGGGCTTTCCACGACCTGGTGCGTTGGCACTCTCACGGGCTGTGAATTCTCATGTCCTAGATCTTGATTTGTTGGCCGCTTAACTTCAGATACCCAAAACCCTAGTAGGTGTGTCTGGCTGGGGCAGGGTTTAGCGTTTTACCCCCTCAGGCTTTAAATCGTAAACCATTGAAGCGTCAGCCAGCTACGCAACCATAGCTGAATGAGTACACTTTACACTTCCTGGGATACAACAATCCAATATAGAACTGAAGGTGTACATTCTCAGAGACTCCAGAACCCCTTAACTACGGAATATTCCTTAAAGTATAATAGGAACCCTAATTATGATTTAAGGTAAGTATTCCTTAATTAAGGGGTTTTGGAGTCTCTGGGAATTTTTGGGGGGCTGACAAGCCGTCAGCTTGCTTGCAGGTGCTCCCTGAACTCGACACGGAGGTCATTATCCTCGACACCAACTACCTCATGCACTTCAGCTCCACCCAGAGACTCCAAAACCCCTCAGTTAAGAAATATACCTTAGATCATATTAGGTTTCCTATTATAATTTGAGGATTTTTCCGTAATTAAGGGGTTTTGGAGTCTCTGAGCAGCGGGCTTCAAAGTAGAGCCACATGCGCTGCCCGAAGTTTACAGGAAGAAAAGCATCCCTCCCCTAAACCCTGGTCCAGAGTCCAACTTTCAACCCGAACTCGTGAGAAGGGGCGCGGGGAACTCGACTTGTGATGAGCTCAACCTAAACCCTACACCTCTTAGTAGCCCAATGGTACCCTTTACCATTTTTTTTTGGTTCTGGGTTCCCTTATGAAAGCAACCAACCCCAAAAAGGGTGCCTTTATGAAAATAGGTTAATTTCTGGGCTACGAAGACCTTAAACCCCAAAACTCGAAACCCTGACCCTAAGCCCGCAAGCAAGCCCTGGATTCCCGCGCGGTGCTCTCCAGCAAAGGTGGCTTAACATGACCTGCCCCCACACGCCGTGCCCAGAACTGTGCAGCGCGACGCTCGGCTTCGAACAAAACGGCCTTGGGGGTTCAGGGTTCAGGGTTTCGGGGTTTAGGGTCTGGGGTTTTAGGGTTTAGGGTTTAGGGTTTTGGGTTTAGGGTTTAGGGTTTAGGGTGGATAGGGTTTTGCCTTAATCTGACATGCAGGTTCATAGGTTGCGCTGTGGAAAGTCAATGGTCTGCAACATTTGCCTTGCATTGCACTGCTTCATACTCCGGTGATGGTGATATGTGTCAAACTATACTTTGATGCGCGGCCATGTAGTCTGGAGCTGTTCTAAACGCTGCTGACTTCTGCATGGCCGTGCATGACATCATACCATGGCGAATTCTGCAGCCACTGATGTAAATCCTGTTCTCTTGGAAGAATCGTCGGTGCCCTTGGTGAGGCACGCTGTTCCACCCTAAACCCTCAAGCCGAAACCCTAAACCCTATACCTGGCAGGTTGGGCGGGGGGGAGAGATGGGGTTGGGGGACACATCGTTTTCCACGACGTTGTCCATCAAAGTCATCATTCAGATTGTATGCTAAAATTTAAAAAGACAAACTTATCGAATAGCATGCATGTGTGTATATATGTATATTTTTGTGGGGGGGTTCTAAATTATGGTTCTGAGGCGGCTGCAACTATTTAGGGCACCCAGACAGGAACCATAGTTTCAACAATACGCGACCCGCCTCGCCCTGAGGGGCTCGGGGCTGAAAAAACTTTGACCTACGCCTGCAACGCCACGCCACAAAGGAGCCCTGACGCTCGGGGACTGCAGGGGGGGGGGTGGGGCACACACCTGGAAAGTACCCATCCCAGGGCAAGAAAACTCCAGTTCGAGGGCTGCCAGATAAAGGCTGGTTGGGGGGAGGGATTTGGGGGTGAGGTGCCTGTTTTACGTTGCCCGATGTAACTACTTGGCAAACTCCAGAATCACCAGTAGTGAGGGTGGTTGAGGGATAAAGGGGGAGGGGGGCCTCGTCGGGCTCTCTGCGCCCCGCTGCTGGCAGCTAATCAGGGGCCTTTCTCGCACTTTAGGGTTTATAGGGTTTATAGGGTTTATAGGGTGTATAGGGCTTATAGGGTTTATAGGGTTTGTCGGGTTTAGGGTTTAGGGGTTACGACTGAAAAACACAAGACTACTGAAAACAACACAATCAAAAGTTAGTTGTTTTTTGGACTTGTTGTTTTTGGGTTCTGGGTCTTCTCTTCTTCTTCCCCTCTTCTTCTGCTCTTTCGCTCGTCCTCTTCTCCTCTTCTTCTCCTCTTGCTCCCCTCTCAACTTCTTTTCTTTTCAGGTTTAGGTTTAAAGGTTTCAAATCCTGATGTGCCTCGAGCGCTGAAGCCTCAACTTCTCTCAAGCGCACCTGCAACGCTTCCTCTTTGTTAGCATCATGGCTGCCCACAGGTGATGTCTGCAGGCTATCGCAAAGATCCTTGCTCCTTTCTGCCTCCTCTGCTCTCTCTCCAGCAGAAGCCTGCGCTGCAAAACATCATGATGGGAAACCAGGATGGGCAGCCACAACAATCCCTCAACCCCCAGTCCTGAGCCCTCACTGATGCTCCATGCTCTTTTTCCCTTGCGGTCTCAGAGAAGAATGACCTAGTCTTACCCTCCCAGTCTACCTTTTCACGCTCAAGCCATAGATTGGCTTTCAATCCATCTTGATGCTTAGTTTCCAGCTGTCCCCTCCATCAGAGCTCCAATCAGCCAAGGCTTGTGCAAGGCCTTCCCTGGCAAGAAAACCTAGTGATCTCTTTGCCTTGTGGGGTTTAAGCTGCTGGGTTTGGAAGAGCAACTTCCTCCCCTTGTTGTGGGCCCCGTCGCTGGCAAATTACCAAATGCCTCCATCTGACGCTGCTCTATCTGCTCCTTCTGCATCTGTTTCAGGAATCGGAGGTGGGTCAGCAGATGCTTCCTCAGGTTAGAGAGCCCTGAAAATGTCTCTCTTCCAATGCCCGGACATGTGGGCTGTCATGGCCAGCAGTTTACAAAAGGCCTGCCTCCTCTTCTCGAAGCCAGGCCCTGCTTCACCATGTGAAAGAAGCTCGCCCATGGCCTGCTGGAGCTTGATCTTCCAATCAGATATTGGAAGCAACAGGTGCCCCATATCAACTCCACCCCCCCCCCCCCCCGCACCCTACCCGCCATTTCTCGCCACCCCTGCCCCAGCCTCTAGCGACGGTAGCCGACAACTGAGTAGCGACAGTCTACTTGGAGGTTCATGGAACTCACAACTGTACTTAAGAATTTTGGGTTTAGGGTTTAGGGGTACTCATTATCCAATTGTAACTGTACTTATAACTGTACCTATAGCCAAATAATGGGGCTCTTAAGGGGTTTCAGTACAGTTACCATTGATGAAGAAGTACCATGAACCTCCAAGTAGCAGTTGGAGGCCAATGCCCTCCTTAGCGCTAGAAGAGTTAGCTTCTGGCGCCGTAACGCGTTATTTAAAGCTTTGAAAGAGTTAACAGGACGTACAGGCCTTCCTCATATTATATTTCTGTAAAGCCTGGGCCGCACGCCTCTTCCCTGTAAGAATTTAGGATTTAGGGCTTCGGATTTAGGATTCACACACCTCTGTGAACGCACCGTAAAGTCGACTTTGCACTGTACCGAAATGGGACATGCATCCAGTTGCCTTTCCCCAGCTACTTCATTTTTGCATCTTGTGTTCTCGGGCCCAAACCCGAAACACGGAGACACCGTTACTGGGACTACGGGGGCACGACATCGTGCATTTGCATTGAAGCCCCCTAACCCGAACCATCCTAAACCCTATACTGGGTAGCAGGGTTAGGGTTTAGGGGTCAGGGTTCAGGCCATTTTTACGCAAACATGCTTTCCCAAGTTCAAGAAGTTCATACTTACATGTTTTCAGGGCCATCCTGATATCTAACCCTCGTCGAAGATCTCATCGCTGCAAGTGGCTGCCCTTGTGGGCAACTTCGACCGCAAGACCGCCACCCCCCCCCCCCCCCCGTCTTCCCGCCGGCTCTGAATTTTCGATTTGCCATCCTAGGACAAACCATGAACCACGAACGCTACCAGGATGGGCTATTCTACCCTATAGAACCCCCTAAAACAAGAGGCCCTTCATAGGGTTGATTGTGGGGATTGTAAGGTCGTCTAGCCCATCCTGGTAAAGAAGTGTGAACAGCAGTTCCCAAACCTGCCAAAGCATGAAGTTCCCTAGCCTCTGGATCCCTGAGCTCCACAACTTCACCCCGGAAATACCAAAGACTTGAGATCCCACCTTCCACTAAACCCTAAACCCTAAACCCTAAACCCTAAACCCTAAACCCTAAACCCTAAACCCTAAACCCTAAACCCTAAACCCTAAACCCTAAACCCTAAACCCTAAACCCTAAACCCTAAACCCTAAACCCTACACCCTCCCTGAGCGCCAACGTGCGCCCCAGGAACCTGAAGAAGAGGGCCTTCAAGGCCTTCGAGCTCTTCCAGGCAGCTGGGGTTCAGGGGTTTTAGGGTTTGTGGGTTTTTGGGTTTTAGGGTTTTAGGGTTTTAGGGGTTTTAGGGTTTAGGGTTTAGGGTTTAGGTTTTAGGGTTTAGGGTTTCGGGTTTCGGGTTTCGGGTTTAGGGTTTAGGGTTTGGGGCTTGGCGTGTACCCTTTGGGGAATCCCAGTCTTGACAGGAGCGGATCGCCCGCAGTACGGCGCGGAACTGGGTCGTGCCTCAGACAGCAAGAAACCCCCAAACGCTAAACCCTAAACCCCAAACACCTTGAGCCCTAAACCCTAGCCCTAAACCCTAAACCCCAAACCCTCAAACCCTAAACCCTTTAAACCATAAACCCAAGCCCATGAGCAGCCTGCCAAGGTCGCCTCTCACTATCCCACAGACTACTTCCCAGGAGCATGGAATGCAACTGGGATTGCCTTGGGGCCTGAAGGGTGCACCGAATCGGAGCCTAGATTTTCTAGGTGCCCTAAGTACCCTAAACCCTAAACCCTAAACCCTAAACCCGGCTTCGGCAGTTAGGTTGCAGGCTGCAGGGTTCCCCCTCCCTAAACCCTAAACCCTAAACCCGAAACCCTAAACCCTAAACCGTAAACCCTAAGCCCTAAACACAAAGACAACATGTGCCATGGTCTCGGCGGGGCTCAAGAAGCAAGAGTCCAACCGGAGGTTGGTTCAGGGGTTTGGGGGTTTCACGAGGGGCTTTTTAAGGCTAAGCCTAAGCCCTAAACCCTAAACCCCTAGACTCCTAAACAGCTATCCCTAAACGCCTAAACCCCCTAACCCCTCAACTCCTAAACGCCTACCCCTAAACGCCTAAACGCCCTAAACCCTAAACCCTAAACCCTAACCCCTAAACCCTAAACCCTAAACCCTAACCCCTAAACCCCTAAACCCCTACACTCCTAAACCCTAAACCCTAAACCCTAAACCCTAACCCGAAACCCGAAACCCTAAACCCTGAACCCTAAACCCTAAACCCTAAACCCTAAACCCTAAGCCCTAAACCCTAACCCCTAAACCCCTCAACCCTAAACCCCTAAACCCCTAAACCCCTACACTCCTAAACCCCTGCACCCCCCAACGCGCCCAGACGAGCGAGCCAATCAAGCCGTGGACTCCCTCCTGGGTCAGGCCCCGCGGGAGTTTCTCCAAGTTAGGGGGTTTAGGGTTTAGGGCTTGGGGTTTAGGGTTTAGGGTTTAGGGTTTAGGGTTTAGGGTTTAGGGTTTAGGGTTTAGGGTTTAGGGTTTAGGGTTTAGGGTTTAGGGATCATAAGGTCAAGGGTCTAGGGTTTCGGGACTAGGGTATAGGGTTGATAAAAAGGTTTAGGGATTAGTGTTCGGGACTCAGGGCTGCAGTGTAGTTGCTTTAGGACTCAGGCTTTAGGGACTTGGTGTTTGGGGTCTTTAGGGTTTAGGGTTTAGGGTTTTTAGGGTTTTTAGGGTTTTTAGGGTTTTTAGGGTTTTTAGGGTTTAGGGTTTTTAGGGTTTAGGGTTTTTAGGATTTTTAGGGTTTTTAGGGTTTTTCGGGTTAAGGGTTTGGGGTTTAGGGGGTTGATTGGGGTTTAGGGCACTCTAGACCATCAGCAACATGCTCTGAGAGTACTTAACCCAGAAAGCTTCAGCGGGGTGGGGGTGGTGGGGGCGGGGGCCTCTGGGGGTCGCGGGGGCTTCGGGGCTTAAGGGGCTTAAGGGGCTTAAGGGGCTTAAGGGGCTTAAGGGGCTTAAGGGGCTTAAGGGGCTTAAGGGGCTTAAGGGGCTTAAGGGGCTTGGGGTTTGGTGGTTCGGGTTTTGGTGTTTTGGGCTTCATTGTAGAGCTTAGTACCCTAAACCCCAAACCCTTGCAGAGTGGGTGCCAGAGGGAGGGTTGTGTCGACAGGCCTTTCAATCGCCCGCGGAACTCTTTCGGACACCTTACACGCCCTTCATCGTTTGGTAGAACCGGCATTTTGGGCTAGGTAGGCCCTTGAGACATTTGATATTTTCCCTTATTGGGTTTAAGAGGATCATATTTAGGAATCGTTTTCAAGTGGTTTTAAGGGCCATCCTAGTGGGTTTCGGCTTAAATCCCATTGTAAGGTCGTCGGATGCTGCCCCTAAACCCTAAACCCTAAACCCTAAACCCTAAACCCTAAACCCTAAACCCTAAACCCTAAACCCTAAACCCTAAACCCTAAACCCTAAACCCTAAACCCTAAACCCTAAACCCTAACTCAGTACGCCCTTCTGAGGTTGAGGATTCAGAGTTTGTCTAGGGACTTTGCTGCGCTCATTGGTTTCTAGGTTAAGGGTTGTTTTAACAAAGCGCAAATCCAAAAGCAGCCCCATGCACTCTTTTTTTGGGGGTTTAGGGTTTAGGGTTTGGGGTTTAGGGTTTAGGGTTTAGGGATGTGCTTCTGAGGATGGGCGCATCCGAGTGGCCGAGCGGGTTCCCCGAGTTCTTGCTCCTGGCCTGCGGTGACTGGGGAGGTTCTCTAGGACCCAGAGTAGGCCCTAGGTTCCCTGTTGGCCCTAGGTTCCCTGTTTAGGGTTTAGGGTTTAGGGTTTAGGGTTTAGGGTTTACGGCCTAGGACCCAGAGTGGGCACGCCTTCCCTTTGTTTTGGACTGAGGCTCCCTATTGTAAGCCCCTTTAGCCGACAAGTGCACCCTTTTGGTTCCTTTTCTACAGCAGCTGTAGAGCCTTTTCTTGGAGATTTTGAGGGGGTATGAGCTAACGGGTGGGGGAGGGGGGTGTGTCATGGCATGCTTCGGGGTTTTGGCTCTGGCGCAGATCGACCAAAAAGCCTAGGGTCTAGGGTCTAGGGTTTAGGGTTTGGGCTTGAGGGTAGATATTCCAGGTCAGCAATCTCCAACGCCTCGCGCCACTTGGTGACAGCAAGCAGGATTGTGAATAATCGGTCATGGCTTCATTGACGCACCCGGCAACCCTGAGCCCGAAACCCTAAACCCTAAGCCCCAATTCTTAAGCCTTAAGCCCTACACCCTAAATCCTACCCCTAAACCCTGAAAACCCTAGTCCCTGAGACCTAGACAGCCGCCGAGGATCCTCCATCACGTACTTCGGAGGCCATCGGCATAACGTGGATCAACGGACCCATGGGGCTCGGTTTCGGGGCTCAGGGCAATCAGGGTTGAGCGTTTAGGGTTTAGGATTTTTAGGGTTTAGGGTTTAGGGTTAAGGAGGGTGCGTTCATTTTTTGCCGAAAGGGCCTCAATAACAGCGAAATAGCGACGTCCGAATGGTCATGCTGCCCATGACGATCATGATCGCATTAATACGGGCATTGGTGATATCTGTCGGTTTGTTCTTAGTCTTCCGGTTAAGATGGGCCTTGAATTGGGGAACCCCTATATACAAACCCTAAACCCTAAACCCTAAACCCCGCATATACCCTATAAAAGCCCAAGGGCCCCCAAGGGCCCATACTTCAGAACCCTTGAAGGATCATGTTGGGACCATGTAGCTTCCCTTACACCCTGAACCCTATACCCTCAACCCTGAACCACGTGAACCCTAAACCCTAAACCCGAAACCCGAAACCCTAAACCCTAAACCCTACACCCTACACCCTAAACCCTACACCCTACACCCTCACTTCCCTTACTTAGAGTTAAGGGCCATCCTGCCATTACTTGCGGGGCATCCCGGGGGGCCGCAGGACTCACGAGGGACCCTAAACCCTAAACCCCCGGGCGCAGGACAGTCTTCAACACGACGCCCCACAGCAACTGGCTGTCTGGAGGAGGTGGAGGCAGCGATTGGCTCAGGGTGACCCTAAACCCTAAACCCGAAACCCGAAACCCTAAACCCTAAACCCTAAACCCCGCACCCCCTCTTGTATCTCCCGATACTTAGGACTCCCACAAAGTGCCCCTTGAGAGACAGCCCCTCATCAAAATCGCTCAAACAGGTTTGAGGGGATTAGGTTTAAGGTTTAGGGTTAAGGGGTTTTCGGTGTAGGGAAAGCTCTACTCAAAATCGCTCAAAGGAACCCCTTAATTAAGGGTGTATCGGCGATAGAAGTCCCTCAGACCAGAGTGGACAAAGCTTCGCTTTAGCGGGCTCCTGAGCCACTTTCCGGGGTATAGGGTTTAGGGTGTAGGGCTTAGGGTTCAGGGTTCAGGATTCAGGGTTTGGGGTGAGACTTCCCAGGTTTGCATTGCTTAACCTCATAGGCCCTAAACCTAGAAGCCTTAATCCCGCAAAGCCCTGCAAGCCGAAGCCCCCAGAGCAAGCCCCGAAGCCCTAAACGAAAGCGCTTAGACCTATGTAGTGTATACTTGGGGCCTTAAGGGGTTCCCTTACTATGGTCGCTTTAGAGTCCAAGTATATATATAAGTACATGGACCCCTAGGGAAATGGCGGCTGGCAAGGCTGGAGTACCGACGGTGAAGAGCAAGGCTTCGTTTTGGGCGAGATCCTGGATGGCGGACAGGTGCATGTAGGGCTGGATTTTAGTCTAGAATTAGGGGGCTTGTTCACCTAAGCTTCCTTTACGAAGCGTCTCTTGGGCTGTGGGTACCTAGAATCCCTATCCGTCCCGACAAAGAACCAATTTTTTTTTGGAGTTGGGGCCTTCAGCCCCAAGCGCAAGACCCCTAACCAACAAAACCTCTTCACCATCAGGGCGATCTATGCCTTGTGGTACTTTACTAGAACTTTAGATCTTTAGCCTTTTTGGGCTTATTGGGTTTCTTAACAAGGCGGCTAGAAATTTTAATTTATAGCTACCCTCCTAAGTGCAGCCCAGTATGTGCTCAGAACTATTAGGATGCTAGTTGAGAAGTTGAGACCTCCGTGTCCTTGCAACATGGACTCTGAGCCCTCAACTTTGGTTCTCACTTTCTTACGTTTCCTATGATTCTTATGATTCCTGGATTGATGCTTATTTTTCCTGGAACTCTTCTTATTATTCTTGATGTTCCATTTTTTCACGACTGTGTTTGAGATTCTTGGTTTTCGTCGCAAAGTATGACGGTGTGTGCCATTGTGTTTCTTTTGAGTGTTTTCATCCGTATGAATTTTGTCAATACAACGAATCATCGTGATGACTATCACTACTTGGGATGTTTCCCCTTATACTAACAGTCCTTGATATAGGACTACAATAGGGGGTACTATAATCCCTATTAAGGACTGTTAGTATGAAGGGGGGACACTATGATTCCTAAGCTTATTAAGATTGTTCTAATTCTCCTGCTATTATAGTTATCCGCGAAGCAAGTCTGCAACCAAAGCAGGCTGAGAAGTGGCATTTGTGCTCTGGAGGTGCGCACCAGCGCCATCATCGTCAACTTCACAGACTGCCTGCAAGCTGTTGATGTTGTTGTGTGATTTACCGGCAAGCTGTAGACGTCCACCAGACATGGGCCTGAACAGAGGCTGTTCATGTGTAGTCGAATTCAAGCTGGGAATCAGCTGCAGTTTTAAGTACGCTCGGGCATTTCATCACCCGCAGCAGGTGCGGCAGAGGAAATCGCACTCACAGCTGGTGGCAGCCTGTATGTTGAGTTCCTTTTGAAACGTGTTCCGCTTGCTAAAGAGGTCACCAAGGCTATGACCAGGGGGCCTGCCATTCATTCACGAGCTAGCTAAACTTCTGCATGCCTTCTGCCCTTCTGTTGCATCAGTCCGATGTTGCTCGGCACGCCGATTTGAAGAGTGGGGCTCTTGTGTGCCACACGACCCCGAAACCTAGGGCCTAAATGTGAAACACACGTTGCCGTCCTGGCAGCAAACCTTGCTGCGCGTAGATTCAAGCCAAAGAAGACTTGAACCCGGAAAGATCGGAGGGACACTGAAAATGCCTTTCGCCGAGCTTCCCAAACCCCAAACCCCAAACCCCAAACCCCAAACCCCAAACCCCAAACCCCAAACCCCAAACCCCAAACCCCAAACCCTAAACCCTAAACCCTAAACCCTAAACCCTAAAACCCTAAACCCTAAACCCTAAACCCTAGAAACCCTAAGCCCTAAATCCCAAGCCTCGCAGTCCTCAAGCCCTTAGGCCGTATAACCCCAAATCCCCCCAAGCGTCAGCCCGCGTGGCTTCGCAATCTGCCCTACTGCCAAAGGCTTTTCTTGGCTGGTCTTGGGTTTAGGCTTTTGGGGTTGAGAGCTTTGGGGTTTAGGCTTTAGGGTGTGCAAGTTAGGTGGGCTCAAAGTACACACACACACACAGAGTAACCCTAAACCCTAAACCCTAAACCCTAAACCCTAAACCCTAAACCCTAAACCCTAAACCCTAAACCCTAAACCCTAAACCCTAAACCCTAAACCCTAAACCCTAAACCCTAACCCCACGATCTGGTAGGAGGATCCCAAAGCCTGAACCTTGAGCACCAAACCTTACATTTCTTGGTGGTCTCTTTAAGTAGGGTTTCTGTTTTGCAAGGGGGTTCTTACTAGGGTATCTAGGGGCTAGATTAAGGTATAAGAGCTCTTTAAGTAGGGTTTCTGTTTTGCAAGGGGGTTCTTATTAGGGTATCTAGGGGCTAGGTTAAGGTATAAGAGTTGAGTAACTATCTAGGGGCTATATTCCTTAGCATACCGTTCTTGTGGTTAAGCCCCGGATGATTGCTGCGAGCCTTTATGAATAAACATGTGGCTTCGTTTATTGTGATCACTGCGATGACCCTGATTACCCTGATTATTTTTTGATGCTTTTGGTTCTGATTATTCCTTAAACCCTAAACCCCAAACCCTGAATATTCTAAACCCTAAACCCTAAACCCTAAACCCTAAAGCCTGAATGTTCTAAACCCTAAACACTAAACCCTTATTTATGTTTTCTTTTCATACTTGGACCCAGATTTGGCTGCTATTCACTTTGGGCTTTCGGTTCCCTTGCACGCCCTTTTAACCCAAACAGGGCGCCTTTTTGTTCCTAGGCTTTGGGTCCGAAGCCTGAAGTCCTAAACCCTAAACCCTCTTGGGTCTCGATGACTATGCCTATTTGAAATTTGTGATTGTTGTGTTTAGGGTTTAGTTGAAACAGTTATATCAATGCTATATTGTGGAGACAATAGAGGTTTAGAGTCTAGAGGTTTAACGGTTTAGGGTTTAGGGCTTAGTGTTTAGGGTTTAGGGCGTGCGCGCCGATGTCCTTGGAGTAGGGGTCGAACGGAGGTGGTGGATGGGGTTGGAGGTTTCGGGCTCAGGGTTGAGTAGGGTGTAGTAGTGTTTAGTAGGGTGTAGTAGGGTTTACTAGGATTCAGTAGGGTTTAGTAGGGTTTAATAGGGTTCAGTAGGGTCCAGTAGGGTTCAGGGTTTAGTTCAGGGTTTAGGGTTTAGGGCTGAGCTTGCATCTCCCCATTTCAAAGCCGCAAGCCTGTTCAGGGCCACTGACGCCTTGCGGAGCCATGTTTACAGGGTATCTAGTAATCTGGCTCCCATATAGAACCCCTATATATACCCTACATAGTCCCTCTATACCTAAGTAGTCGCCCCCTACATCGCCCCCAAAGAGCCCCTAAAGTCCACCCTAAACCCTAAACCCTAAACCCTAAACCCTAAACCCTTAAAAGGGTCCTCCTTGAGTGCCTTGCGGAGCCATGTTCCGGGGAGCCAAGATCCTCGATGCGCTTGCACAAGCTCTGCGGCTGCATGAGGCCCGCATAGGGCATAGGGCTTAGGGCTCGACCCTATGACCCTCAACCCTAAAATTTCTTAACCCTAAACCCTAAACCCTAAACCCTAAACCCTAAACCCTAAACCCTAAACCCCGAAGCCCACCTCCCCCTCCCCCCCCTCCTCGGCGCACATGTGCGACAGGAGGTTCTTGGTGGCGGCTTCAGATGCCACTATGGCGAGGCAAGGCATGAGAGCCCCCTTCCCCCCCGCCCCGCCCCCCCAGCCGGGCCGGAGTAGGGTTTAGGGTTTAGGGTTTAGGGTTTAGGGTTTAGGGTTTAGGGTTTAGGGTTTACAAGTGAGGCCTTTGGCGCCTTCCCACCGAGCCGGGTCTTCGTCGAGCGGGCCGTGGATCCCTCAGGCCACTCAGCCCGACACCCTAAAGCCCTAAACCGGGTTCAGGGTTTAGGGTTTAGGGTTTAGGGTTTAGGGTTTAGGGTTTAGGGTTTAGGGTTTAGGGTTTAGGGTTTAGGGTTTAGGGTTTAAAGTTTAGGGTTTAGGAGGGTTCAGGGTTTACCCCAGAACCAGCCGCCAAAAACCTTTGAAGCCCCAACATTCCTGAAGCCCGAATCCGAAACCTAACACCCTAAAGCTCCAGAGCTCCACACCCTTGAGCCACCCGGGCCCCCCAACACCCTAAATCGAACTGCTGGGCTTTTTCGAAGTTGGGGGTTGTTGTTTTCAACCCGAAACCCCAATCCCCAAGCTTTCAAACCGCAGCCCCCAGACTTTACGAACCTTAACCCGTCAATGCCCTTAGCTTTCGAAACTCTAAACCCTGGAATTTTCAAGCTGGTCTGCGTGGGTTTGGGGTCGAAATCTCCCAGTACGACCAGCTTACATGCCCCACACCGTTTATCTACACCCATTCTGCCCCCTCAAAAACAATATGACAAACCTGACAGCCTCCCAAAAGCCACCCTGTACACCTGAAACCCTGAACCCTAAACCCTAAACCCTAAACCCTAAACCCTAAACCCTAAACCCTAAACCCTAGACCCTAGACCCTAGACCCTAAACCCTAAACCCTAAACCCTAAACCCTCCAGCCCTGCAAAAGGCAGCCTTGCTGAGCCGCCCCGAGACCCGCGCCAGCAGCCGCCCCGGGCGAGCTGCCTGGCAGCAGAAGCGAGTTCCTTTTTTGTTGAGGGGGAGGGGGGGGGGTTTAGGGTTTAGGGTTTAGGGTTTAGGGTTTAGGGTTTAGACCCTAAACCTTAAACACTAAACCCTCCACCCCTACTCGCCCCTGCGAGGTGCTCATGTCGTGGTGGCTCACTGCCCTTCGAGCCACGTCCTTGCAGGTGGTTAGGGTTTAGGGTTTAGGATTTCGGGTTTAAGGTTTAGGGTTTCGGGTTTAGGGTTTAGGGTTTAGGGGGGCTGTGAGGTTGCGAGAGGGGCTGAGTGTTTAATTTCGGGTTCCTGCGCAGGCCCTTGGTAGATCTGGGAAGAGTCTTAGGGTTCAGGGTTTGGAGTTCAGGGTTTAGGGTTGAGATTTGGGGTTTGGGGGAGGGGGTGTAGGGTAGGGTTTAGGGGTTTCCGGGCTTAAGGTTTAGAATCCCACTTGTATCCAGGCCCTCCTTTTGGCTTTTTCTAGGCGTCCCAACTGCGTGTCGGCTTAGACGCCGTTGGCCACGAGTTCGTGGGTCCCACGTTCAAGTATGGCAATGGTTGTAAAGAACGTGTCCCACGTTCAAGTATGGCAATGGTTGTAAAGAACGTGTCTCTTTGGGGGCCGTTCATACCCTTAAATCCTTCAGAGCCTGTGTAGCCCTGCGCTCTTATCACACCCCCCCCCCCCCTCACCCCTGAACCCTAAACCCTAAACCCCAAACCCCAAACCCTAAACCCTAAACCCTAAACCCCAAACCCCAAACCCCAAACCCCAATCCCAACCCCAAACCCCAAATCCCAAACCCCAAACCCTAAAACCCCAAATCCCAAACCCCAAACCCCAAACCCTAAACCCAAACCCCAAACCCCAAACCCCAAACCCTAGTCCCCCAAACCCGCCTCCTCCAACCAAGCCTGGCCAGGGCAGCTCCGATGCCTGGCACGACAGAGGCTGGAGCCGGGCCTCGTGCTCTGCTACGCAGGACGGGAGGGCTTCAGGTATAATGTATTACCCTAAACCCATAATATGGGTTTAGGGTTGAGGGTTTAGGGTTCAGGTTCAGGGTTTAGAGTTCAGGGTTTAGGGTTTAGGTTTAGGGTTTAGGGGTTTTTGGTAGGTATAATATATTACTGTACCCTAAACCCATAATATTAGGGTTTAGGGTTTAGGGTTTAGGGTTTAGGGTTTAGGGGTTTTACGAAAATTAGGGGACCCCAAATATAGAGCTCCAAAAAGTAGGATCCCCTTTTCATAAGGACCCCAACACAAGGTACCCACCCCCCCCCCCCCCCCCCAATATCGTAAGCCCCCATATCGAAATCCTACCAGCATGATTTTAACTGTGGGGTGGGGGGGAGTGGGGTCACCCTGAACCCTAAATGGCCCCAAACCCCAAGTCCTAAACCCTAAACCAGGGGAAACTCCCATTTGACGGGATGACAGCGGAGGTTGGGGGTGTGGGACCCCCTAAACCCTAAACCTGGACCCTAAACCCTAAACCATAAACCCTAAACTAGGGAGGTTTGGGCAGCTCCATGTTAAGGGGTTTGGGGGGTTTTGCACCACATTGAGTCCAGGGAGCTCAGGCCTTTGAGCTTTTGGTTTTGTTTAGGGTTCACGGTTCAGGGTTTAGGGTTCACGGTTCATGGTTTAGGGTTTAGGGTTTAGGGTTTAGGGGGGGGCGGGGGGGCAGAGTTCAGGGTGTTGGGGGTTCGGGAACTTGTAGAGGCAACAACCAGCTCTTACTGTGGACTTCGGGGAATCGGTACCGTTGACCCCCGCAAAGGGAGTGTGGCCCTAAACCCTAAACCCTAAACCCTAAACCCTAAACCCTAAACCCTAAACCCTAAACCCTAAACCCTAAACCCTAAACCGCAAACCTTAAACCCTAAACCCTAAACCCTACACCCTACACCCTAAACCCTAAACCCTAAACCCTAAACCCTAAACCCTAAACCCTAAACCCTAAACCCTAAACCCTAAACCCTAAACCCTAAGCCTTCACGGTTGTTGGGTCTTCTTTCGGGGCTTGTCCTGACCACGCGCAGGCGAGCTCTACCGCAGCGAAGCCGACCACGCCAAGTACTCGACTCTTGGCCTTGGGGTCACAAGTAGGGTTTCGGGTTTAGGGTTTAGGGTTTAGGGTTTAGGGTTTAGGGTTTAGGGTTCAAGGCCCTCAACCTGTCCCCCCAAAACATGACGAATGGGAGAACGGAGGCCGTAACCCTAAACCCTAAACCCTGAACCCTAAACCCTAAACCCTAGTCAACCCGACAAGCCAAGATCCTCCTTCTCGCTGAAGTCTCCCAACGGCATGGTCGTGGATGGAGCGCGCTACTCCAACGAGGCATCGTTACTCTCTGATGTTGGCTCTCCTTCCTCCCGAAACCCTAAACCCTGAACCTTGTGGGGGTCTGGTAGTCGAGGTTCTTGTTTGTCTCGTGGGAGGTCTCGGTTTGCCGAGTTATGTGAATATGTTGAGTGGGTCTGTGGCCGAAGGACACAGTCGGACAAACATACCCTAAACCCTCAACCCTGAACCCTAAATCCTGGGCTCGGGTAGCTTGTAAGCACTTCGCCTGGGGTGCGCCTCCATAATAAAATGTGAAGGATTCCAGGATTCCAGTCCTTGTGAGTGTGCAAGGGTTTGCCTGCGGCGCCTTACTACTTTTTGATGCTTAGGGCTTAGGGTTTAGTAGAGGGACCAAGAGAATGTTTGTTGGGGTGATAAAAGGGGTCGGAATACTGACTAATAGTATTCCCTTATGGCCCCTTTATAAACTATACTATATTTCCCCCCCCCCCCCCCAAAAAAAAAAAAAACACTAGTCTAGTTATTAAGGCCCCCCTAGTAAGTAGGTCCTTGGCGCCATCGAGGTTTGAGTGAACCACTAGAACCCCTATATGTACTTATAGAGTCCCTATGTGCCTTTGCAGCCCCTAAGTAACCCCCAAAAAACCCCCAAATAACCCCTAGGGTCCCTGATAAGGGCCCTCCTTTAGTCCCTTGAATCGAGGTTTGTGAACCACTATGTGGGGATCGCGGAAGCTCCGAACTGCGTCATCGGGTCATCCGACGAGCACGTGGCGACCATTGAGGTCACCCAGCCGATAGGCGAGGGCGGTCGTGGGTTCGGAATAACTCGACTGTAGGACCTTCGTAGGGGTGTAGGGTTTAGGGTTTGGGGTTTAGGGTTTGGGGTTTAGGGTCTAGGGGTTTGGGGGTTTAGGGGTTTAGGGTCTCAGACCTTCAGCGAAGGGTTGCGATGCAAAGCCTGATCATCAGCATGTCCTCTGCAATGAGGGCTTGAGCACCAGCTTTCCTCGAGTCGGCAAGCCCCCGCCTCCCCCGCCGAATTGCTGAATCCTAAACCCTAAACCCTAAACCCTAAACCTTAAACCCTAAACCCTAAACCCGAAACCTAAACCCTAACCCCTAAACCGCTGAAGCAGTGAATTCTCCAAGTCGCCCCGTCACAGGACAAGAGGAAGAGCTCTTGGTAGACTACGGCCTGGAGCACTGCCTGTGCAACGAGGCTCCTCAGCTTGAGCTTACTTAGGGTTTAGGGTTTAGGGTACAGCGTTTAGGGTTTAGGGTTTAGGGGAATTTAGGGTTATTGTTGTAGGGCTTAGGGTCCTCAGTCCTCCACGCCTCCGGAGAAACGCCTACCTTAGGGAAGTAAACTTGCAAGTGAGCCCGATACCCCCTAAAACCTTCGACTTCACTGGAGGTTCCCCACCCGCGCGCCCCTGCTTGGGCACGGGACTTCGCCGCCCTGTCGCGACTGCAGGCCAGGGCAAGCCGACATACCCTAACCCCTAAACCCTAAACCCTAAACCCTAAACCCTAAACCCTAAACTCCCTAAACCCTAAACTCCCTAAACCCTAAACTCCCTAAACCCTAAACTCCCTAAACCCTCAAACCCTCAAACCCTCAAACCCTCAACCCTCAACCCTCAACCCTCATCACCCCAAGGCCTAAACCCTAAACCCTCAACCCGAAGGGTTCGCTCTACGTCCCTAAAAGGGGCATCAGCCTTCCCCTGTAAATCCTAAACCCTAAACCCTAAACCCCAAACCCTAAACCCTAAACCCTAAACCCTAAACCCTAAACCCCAAACCCCCTTTCCAGGCTGTCTCTAAGCGCCTCTCACAGCTGCAGAAGGCCTCGGCCTCACGGTTTTGGGCTGCCCTAGGCCCTAAACCCTAAACCCTAAACCCTAAACCCTAAACCCTAAACCCTAAACCCTAAACCCTAAACCCTAAACCCTAAACCCTAAACCCTAAACCCCAAGTGTTTGAGTCCTGGGAGTCTAGGGGCTTCTGGGTGTGTTGTTTGGGGGTATGTGGAGCTGTTCGGGTTTAGGGTTTAGGGTTGAAGGGTTTAAGGGTTTAAGGGTTTAAGGGTTTAATGGGGATGTGAGGCATGCAATGAAGGTGCCGCCATTGGAGAGCTATTCGGGAGTTGGAATGTTAAGGTTTAGGGTCTGGTTCCTTGGGGCTTGGGGTTTAGGGATTAGTGTTTGGGGTTTAGGGTTTGGGGTTTAGGGTTTAGGGTTTGGGGTTTAGGGTTTAGGGTTTAGGGTTCAGGGCTTTCCTCCTTAGGCGCTGGAATCTGCACATGCGTTCGTGGCTGCCCAGGCTCCGCAGCAACAGAATCCGACTGCCTGGTGCCTTGCCTTTAAGCCTTAGTTTAGGGTTTAGGGTCTAGGGTCTGGGGTCTGGGGTTGAGGGTTTAGGGTTAGGGTTTAGGGTTTGGGGTAGGTGTTTCCTGGTATCCGTTGAGGTCTCCGAGGGTTTAAGGTTTAGGACTGTCCGTAAGGACTTCCAACTTCAGGGCCCGTGCAACTACCCCCAAGATACCCTAAACCCTAAACCCTAAACCCTAAACCCTAAACCCCTGAAAGGCAGTGGGAGCTTCGGCAGCTACTGCGCCAAGGCTGGTGTGGGGGCATTCGAGCGCTAGGGCTTTGGTGGCCCCGGAACTTAAGAACCCGATGCCCTTGCCACTTCTTTGAGGCTCGTGCCTGCTCCCAGACCCCAAACCCCAAACCCTAAACCCTAAACCCCAGACCCTACGCCCTAAGAACCCTAAACCCCTAACCCTAAACCCCTAACCCTAAACCCCAAACCCTAAACCCCTGACCTTAAACCCTAAACCCTAAACCCCAAACCCTAAACCCTAAACCCTGAACCCCAAACCCTAAGCCCTAAACCCTAAACCCTAAACCCCAAACCCTAAACCCTAAACCCTACCTACAGCAACCGGAACCCAAAATAAACAGGGTTCTGACTTAAAACCCGGTTTTCAGAAAGAAAACCTGGTTTCTGGCTTCTGGGCGTTTATGATGAGAGTGAAGCGTGAATGATGTTGCTGGAAAATTTCTCTGGGTGCGGCCTTTTTGCTGCTCGACCTTGGAGACCCCCAGATTCGCCGGCCCGGGCTTAGTTTTGCAGGTGTAGGAGAATCTCGTGAGAACCTCGTTCAGAGAACACGATCTGTTGAGAGACTGGTAGAGAGTCGCACGGACCACAGAGGTTCATATTCGGAACAATCTAGCCACGGTCAACGTAATGGCCACGCGCAGCAAGCAAAGCCCTTTGCATAGTTCTAATTCTTGTAAGTTTAACAAAAACTCTCCTGCTGACGGCTCGGCAGTCCTATAAACTCCTCTTCGATTTGGCACGCGTGCACGCGGGGACAGCACAAAAGGCGCACGCTCGCTCTCATCATTGAGGTCAAAAGAATATAATGCAATCGGCGCAAGTCCTGCATGCAGAGAAGCCCGCTGGCCCACTATTTTTGCCAAAGCAGAGAGCAACCTTTGCTTGGTTCCGGCGTCGTTTGTGCAACCGCATTTAACACAAGTTCGAGCTTTTTTAACAGCTGCGAACGCTGTCCAAAACACGTCTGGAGCCAGACCCCCCAAAACCCGCTTTTGTCCTACGGGTAAATACGGGTTCCCTACGGGTAAATACGGGTTCCCCTACGGGTAAATACGGGTTTTCCAAAAGTGGGTTTTAGCCAGATTATGGGTTCAGATGGGTTTTTTATGGGTTTCCGATGGGTAAAACCGGGTTTTCAGCCCGCAACCCACTTTTTTTTGGCTTCGGGGCGAACAAAACTGCGCTAATCACTTTGCGGGCATTTTGGGGGCCTTAAGACGAGCCCGCGAGAAGTGCACCCTCCTTTCGGGCGAGAATGCGGAGATGCTTCCCGCTCTGAGGTCATATATATATATATATATACATGGCCAAATCCGCCCACTCAAAAATCTCAGCCATCTCCGCGGTTGAAGGCCTCGCTTGAAACAGCTGAAGTGCGGAAGGTAGCGTGGGTGGCCGGAAGGCCGGGCAGCCGCATAAGCCGTGGCTTTCAAAACATCATAGATTTATTGGCTATAGCAGCGGCGGACTCAGCAGGGTAAGTCCTGGGCTGGCCATCATATCTAAATAAGCAAATCCGACCCGCTCCACACAAACGAACGAATTGTGCAATATTTCGCAGGTGACATGCGCTCGTCCTTAAGCTCAAGTGTCTCTGTCGACTTGAGACTTGCTGTACCACGGTATCTCCACGACAATCGATGTACTGAACCGAGGTAGCCGAAACGGGCGCCCTTCTGCCTGACCCTTTGAATCCGGATAACGGGAGCGTACGGCCCCGCACATGCCTGCTCAATCCCCAACCTGATCCCGAAAAAGTGGGTTTTTCTGAAAAACCCGGTTTTTCCAACAAAAACCCGGTTTTTTGGCCTATTCGCTTAAAAACCCGGTTCTGACCCCCGAACCCAGTTTTTTTCGGGTTTCAGGCGCCCAAGGTAAACCCCAAGCCCCCCTTGCTTGCCAGGTCGCGTGCGGTTTGCGCTTCTCTCCACGGAGGGCCGCACGGAGGTAGTTTGGGAAGGGTTTAGGGTTTAGGGTTTTTGGGGTTAGGGTTTAGGGTTGAGGGTTTAGGGTTTCAGGGGTTTGGAGCCAAGGGTTTCCAATTATCTTTTGGAATTCAGTCGTCGGTGGCAGAGCAAATTTGAATTAGGTGCTAAAGGGACCCGGAACCCCAAACCCGAAACCCTAAGACCAAACTGAGTGTGGTTTCAACCACGCTTCCTTAAGGCAAGCTTCGCTAACATCTCATGCTCTAGCACGCGCTGCGTGTACGAGTGGCCAGCGCTGACACCTCTCCGATGAACTAGTGAACTGGGACCCGGAGTAGGCCCGTAGTCCCTTTTTGTAGGGTTTAGGTTCCCTTAAAAGGCACTTCAAACCAAAAGGGGGTGGCCCTTTCTATTGCCAGGTTTCTCTGATTTTTGGCGACTTAGTAAATGTTGGGGGGCTTGACATCTTTGTTGGGGTCTCTGATGGCCATGAGAGTTGGTTCCTTGGAGTTTAGGATGCCGTACTCCCCATCAACTTGTGGCATGTTAGTCCTTAGGGTTGAGGCCCCTGGGATATTTCATCATTTTTCCTTTGTTGGGCTTTAAGAGGATCATAGCTAGGAATCTTCTTCAGAACGTTCTTAGGGTTGAGGCCCTTGGGATATTTTATAATTTTCCCTTTGTTGGGTTTTAGGAGGATCACAGTTAGAAATCTTCTTCAGAATGTTTTAAGGGCCATCCTAGTACATATATAGCCCCCCAGCTGGATTCAACGTGGGAGCCACAGGTCGCCAAACTCCAGCAAGAAGTGAAGAGACAGCTGCGGGCGCTGATGTTAGCGCCGCACGAACAAAAAGTTGCGCCTGCGGGGAGTGCTCAGCTGTACCCTAAAACCTAAACCCTAAACCCTAAACCCTGAACCCAACTGCTCTTTTCTGCATCGCTTGGCCCTCTTGCGCTTCATCAAGCCCACAGGGTCCCTGTACCCATCCTTACAGGGGGTTCCTAAACAGTAGCTTTAGGGCCCAGGGTTTCTATTTTACGGGTACGTGGACCCTGAAGGAAGTAGGTCCGGGTTAAAATTTATATAGGTCAAAACTCCATCCCAAGCCGCAGTAAGAAGCAAACCTTGACGTGCATCGCTGTACCTCTGAATTTTTGTGCCAGCTAGTTCCACATGCCGTGCTTTCAACCCGAATTCTCCCACTTCCCCAAGCCCCACAGTCTTGAGCCCGGCGCGCAGGTCGCAGCCCGGCGCAACCACCGATGTGGGGAATTGTGAGGAAAATCTTGCGACGAGGGGCTGCCAGGGCTCGAGATTCTGGGACTTCAGATTCAAGGGGCATGCGAGTTGGGTGCTTCGGGTTTGGAGCATGTGCGTTCTGGCAACCCGAATGAAGGGCATGCGGGTTGGCTCATTGGGGCTTGGAGGCTGTGTGGGCTGGCAATAGCAGTTTTCAGACGAAGGACGTCAGAGAAGCCGAACTTTCGACTGCGTCCTTCAAGCTTGAAGTTTTGTGGGGGGGGGTGACTTGTAGGGGAGTTTTGGGTTCAGGGCTTAGAGTTTCAATAGTGAACCCCAAGCCCAATGAACCCTGAGAAAAAGCTAGACCAAACACGCCAAAACCCTAAAAGACACCGACACCCTAAACCCTAAATTCTAAACCTTAAAACCCCAACCTGCAAACAAAAAGCCTGAAAACACCTGAGTCCCCCAGCAGACCCAAACCCCGAAGCCCCTGATAACCTTTCTTCTTGCTATCTTGCTGGGGAACGCCCTTGCAATCCCTAAACCCTAAACCCTAAACCTTAAACCCTACACCCAAACCCCAAACCCCAAACCACAAACCCCAAACCCTAAACCCTAAACCCTAAACCCTAAACCCCAAACCCCCAACCCCAAACCCTAAACCCTAAACCCGAAACCCTCACTCGCAGCCCGGGCTCGGAGTCGACGTAACGTCGTCCCCCGCGGGCGGCGTCGCCCCGCCCAGCTCGAAATGAAGCTGACTGCAAGTGCAGGGCTCAGGGGGTGTCGGGTTTAGGGTTTAGGGTTTAGGGTTCAGCATTTCAAGTCCAAGCATTCACTAGGGTTTAGGGTTTAGGGTTTGCTGAGATAGGGCGTAGGTGCTGTGAAGGTTAGGTTTCAGAACAAGCTCGAAAGCTTCGTGAGGTGCGAAGAGCAGCTTTGGCCCGATTGTGGAGGGCCATCTAACACTTTTCTCCCACCCCACGCCGTCCGACGCGGCAAAGCCACCCAAACCTATTCCGTTTAGGGTTTAGGCCTAAACTCAGGAAACAGCTTCGCAAAAAACTCACCAGGAGAGAAAGAAAGCAGGGGGTCGAGGCGTGTCGGGGGGGGGGGTCAGGGGGGTCAGGCAGGCCAGGCGGGGAGAGGGCGAGGTTGGGGGTTTTGGGAAGCTCGGCTTGGCCGTACAGGGTCTCCGGGTACCAGTACTGGTCCCGAGGAGAACGTGCCCCGGTACCGTGGGTGCTACCGACGTTCGAAAGTTTTGGGGTTAGGATTTGGGGGCTTAGAGTTTTATGGTTGTGGGGCTTAAGGGTTAAGGGTTCAGGGTTTCAGGGTTTCAGGGTTTCAGGGTTTAGGGTCTGAGGGTTCAGGGTTTAGGGCTTAGGGCTTATTTTGTTCCTCGGGTTTTAGGGTTTTTGGGTTTTAGGCACTTACTGGAATGGATTCGGTTTTTGGAGTTTAGGGCTGCCAGGGTCTTTGGGGGTAATGGTCACGTGCTCTGAAGAGTCCAGGAGCTGCGCATATGTGTGTGTACTTCTGCGCTGACGGGCCCTGATGCAATGGCTTTCTCCAGCCACTTCAGCTCAGAATGCTTTTAGGATGAGGGCGCAGTAGAGCAACACCCCCAACTGCTCCCAACGAATTTTCTTCATCAACCACTGTCTCCCCTGTGCCAATCAAGGGCCTTTCTTCTGCACCTGTTTGCGACCTAAACCCCAAACCCCAAACCCCAAACCCTAAACCCTAAACCCCAAACCTTTCAATGGTAATGGGGCTTTCTTCAAGGAGCCTTGTCATTTCTGGCCCTGGCACTGCTGGGAGCAGAGGCCGCAGCTCCGCTCCCCTTTTGTACGTCTAGGGTTTAGGGTTTTAGGGTTTAGGGTTTAGGGTTTAGGGTTTAGGGTTTAGGGCCTTTAGGGCCTTTAGGGCCTTTAGGGCGTTTATGGTTTGGGGTAGTTTGCACATGGTCTAGGCTTCTTGAAGGATTTAGGCTTTAGGGATTTTAGGGTTTAGGGCTTTGTTAGGCTTTTGAGGTTTTTAGGGCTTTTTGTGTTTTACGGGCTTTTGGGGTGTTGGGGCTTTTGGGGCTTTAGGGCTTCTAAGGGTTTACGGATTTATGCTTTAGGGCTTCTAGGGTTTAAGGATTTAGGTTTTAGGGCTTTTAGGGTTTTAGGGCTTTGGGGCTTTTGGGAGTTTTAGGGCTTCAGGGGCTTTTGGGGTTGAGGTTTTTTGGGTTTTAGGGTTGAGGCGGTCTAGGGTTGAACGGTTTAGGGTTTGGGGTAGTTCCTCTGTGTGTGTGTGTGCGTGTAAAAAATGTCACAGATACAGGCCCTTATCCTGTTTTGGGCGGTTAGGTTCCCTCATAAAGCCCTTGAAACCAAAAAGGGCACTCTTGTCATTCCTGGGTTGCTCTTGGGTCTAGTATATATATATATATATTTATATTTATTTATTTTTTATATTTATTTTATTTATTTGATTATTTACTTATTATTTACTTATTATTTATTTATTCAACATTGTTTTCTTACTTACTTAGGGTTGTGAATCACCTCTTCTTACGACCACCCTACCGTTTAGGGTTAGGGCTTAGGGCTTAGGGCTTAGGGCTTAGGGCTTAGGGCTTAGGGTTTAGGGTTTAGGGTTTAGGGTTTAGGGTTTAGGGTTTAGGGTTTAGGGTTTAGGGTTTAGGGTTTAGGGTTTGGGTTATTAGGGCCCAGGTATATACTATATAAGTACATGGACCCGCAGGGCTACACCCTAAACCCTAGCACTTACGAACACCCTAAAGCCCTAGAACCCCGAAACCTGAAAACCCTTCAAACCCTAAGCCGTAAACCTGAAAACTCCTACTTAAAACCCGTAAAGTCCTCAACACACATAAAGCCGTGCAAGCCCTGAATCCAAAACCCTAAACCTGAAAAGCCTTATTGCCAACTCCAAAAGTGTTGGAACATCCTTATCCAAGCCCGAAAAGGTATACTAAGGGAATATCACCCTTAATCCATGTTCCGACTTTTGGGAGACTACTGTAAAGAACTCAAAACCCTTAAAGCCCATAAAGCCCTAAATCCTAAACCCTAAACCTGAAAACCCTTACTGCAAAGCCCTAAATCCTAAGCCCCAAACCCGAAAACCCTTAAAGCCCAAAAAGCCCTCAGCCCTAGACCCGAAATCCTAAAACTTAACCCCTAAACCCTAAACCCTAAACCCTAAACCCTAAACCCTAAACCCTATCCCCTAAACCTGAAAGCCCGAAACCCGGCCGGAGGCCACTAAGATCCGCAAGCCCCGCTCCTGGATCCGAGTCCTGCAATTTTGGGGCGTTTCGGGCTCGGGGGTTTAGGGTTTCGGGTTTCGGGTTTAGGGTTTCGGGTTTAGGGTTTAGGGTTTAGGGTTTCGGGTTTAGGGTTTAGGGTTTCGGGTTTAGGGTTTAGGGGGTTATCGGGTTCTTACCCTCAACCCTAAACCTTGGTTTTTCCGACGGTGCCCAAAGCGCCCGACACCAATGAACCAAGGAAGTCGGGTGTAGGTTTTAGGTTTTAGGGTTTTGGGGCCCAATACACCCTTAATGAAGGAATGTACCTTTTAACTATAGTAGGGATGACTAAATATGATTTCAGGCATGTTCCTTGATTATGGGGTACGCATTGATCGGAATGTCTCCCTCTACTAGCAGTCCTTAATGGGGGTTATAGTGCCACCTATTATAAACCCTAAACCCTAAACCCCAAACCCTAAGCCCTAAGCCCTAAACCCTAAACCCTAAACCCAAGGGGGAACATCCCAACCTTTTGAGCTCTCTGGGCAGCTGCAGTAGCTTTGTAGCCTGGGGCTGACATGTGGCATGCGAAGTTGAAAGCTCGACATCCTCGGTGTAGGGCCTAAACCCTAAACCCTGAACCGTGAACCCTAACCCCTAAACCCGAAACCCTAAACCCTAAACCCTGAACCCTGAACACTAAACCCTAAACCCTAAACCCTAAACCCTATTCCCTAAACCCTAAACGCTAACCCTAAAACCTAAACCCTAAACCCGCCAGAAGGCGAAGATGAGTCCGCACCGCTATACCATTGCAGCCGTCATCGGTCAACTTCAGCCCTGCAGAACCCTCGCACACAATACTCTAGTGGAGCAGGAACAAACCCTGCTTGCAGGTTCATGGTACCTAGTAACTCATGAAACTGTACTTATAACCCAATGATAGCTGGGTGACTACCCTTAGGGGACTTAGAGTTGGGTTATAAGTACAGTTACAACCCTCAACCCTAGACCCTAGACCCTAGACCCTAGACCCTAAACCCTAAACCCTAAACCCTAAACCCTAAACCCTAAACCCTAAACCCCAAACCCCAAACCCTAATTAGTTAATTACTAAGTGCCATGAACCTCCAAGTGAGCCATCCCCTCCTCCCGCCCACTGCGCCACTGCGCCTTCCCCCAAAAAGTGGAACCCTTGGCCCCGAAGCCCTAAGCCCCTAAAACTAACCCCTGAGCCCTAAGCCGCAGAAGGTTTAGGGTTTTAGGGTTTTAGGGTTTTAGGGTTTAGGGTTTAGGGATTAAGGTTTAGGGCTTAGGGTTTAGGGTTTAGGGTTTAGGGAAATTCAACCTTCAACCCTTACACCCTAAACCCCTAAGGCCCTCTAAGGTCGGGACGCAAGGGCCGCTTGGAGTGTCCCCCAGGGCCGGATCCGCCAGCAGCTCAGTGGACTTGCATGGGCCCTAAACCCTAAACCCTAAACCCTGACACCCTAAACCCTAAACCCTAAACCCTAAACCCTAAACCCTAAACCCTAAACCCTAAACCTTACGCCCAAGACCCTAAACCTTACGCCCAAGACCCTACACCCTGAACCCTTGGTTGATGTACCTCCACATACTGAAAGTGCTCAATAGGTATGATAATCGGCGGGGGGGGGGGGTACTGGACTGTTACTAGGGGGCAACATCCCAGCGCACGGACCCTAAACCCCTGAAGGGATGCGTCTTGATGCATTCGGATGCGATGCTGCAGGGCGTCCGAACAATC